TCTGGCAGCTTCTAACTGAAGTTTCTCTAAGTTTTCTTTCTGTTGTACAGTACAGCCATCCCATAATTCACAAGCATATTCAAAGTGTGGTCTGATAAATATCTTATAAATAGTATTGATTGTATTTCTGTTAAGTAAGTATTTCAATTTCCACATTGATGATATCATTTTGGAGCACGACTTGATAATTTGATTAGTATGACAAGACCATTTGCCTTTTGCTTCAAATGTTATTCCGAGATGTTTATGATTGTTTACCAAATGGATTTGCTTTCCGTCAAAAAATAATTTCAATTCTTCAGTTTCAGCAATCATGGAAAACAACACTGCTTCTGTTTTTTCAGGATTATATGAGACCAGCCAGTTTTTGCTCCAGTTATATAATATGTCTAAATTTCATGTTGTTTACTCTATTTCTCTGATGTTTATAAGCTTTTCTATCGCTCTCATTTTTTGTTTTCTTGGCCTTTCTCCGTAATCGGTCTCTTTTACGGGATTCCCTCCTCAAATTAAAGTCATACCATGGTTTGTCATTTGGACGAATAGTTACTATTTTTGAAGGAATACATGATTTCACATGTTGAGTAAATTTGGTATAAAATAGTGAACAAGCATCATTAACATTTGAACATCCATTATATAAATCCTTCCATTCTGTATTTTCTATAAGATAATTGAGCATTTCATAATCACCCTTATTGTAACACCAGATTTCTCGCTTATAAGATATGTTGTTACATAACTGTGTACTTATGTTTACATATGTTCCCCTGTGATCACTTATATTGCTATCAAACTCAACACCACCACGGTCAACAACACCAATGTCTTCACTGACAATTACCGGATCAAGCAAAGTACTGGTTGTTTTGGTAACTCTAGTAGGTTCAGATATAACATTTCTTAAATTTTTCATAACCAAGAGTTCATTAACTAGCGGATAAGAGATTTTCATTTATATCACCAACAATAACAACCTTAGACGACATATCAAGAGCACTTTCAACGCTATTATCTAAGCGAGCCCAAAAGTCCAAAGAATTATACTCTGGTCGGTATACAGTACATAATAACAGCGAATTTTGAGGTAAATATATCTGAATCCAAATTGTTTCATCGTAGACATTTTCAAGTTCTGGAATTCTCTTAAAAGATAGGCTTTTATTAACATAAACTAGTAAACCACCCCAAACATATTTCTGTCTTTGCGCACTGGCTCGTGAAAGTCTTCCCAGATTAGCATTTCAGTTTCAATACTGTCGTCTAAGTGCGTTTCCGTAAAACAAACAACATTGTGATCTGATAAGAATTCACTCAAATAAGAAAGCTTGTTACGTAGACTTCTAGTATTTAGATGGAAAATAGACAATGAATGGTCACAGACAGTGTTGTCATGGGTCAGTGGCCCTGGGTTGGGTTGCACGTCCCCAGCAATCAATAATAACAAATAGTAACACAAGGATTACGTCAACATTACCAGCTTGTGACTGGAGACAACAGACACTAAGAAACACCGTGCATGCTTTCCATTCGTTACAGAAAATCTCAAACATGAACTTCAATTCACGTACAAAGAGAGTTACATTACCACATGAAAATGCGCATTAGTGACGCTCTTGAATCCAACCTGTATTCTAAATTTTACACAATTAAATACTCCAATCACCACACGGTGTTGCATTATATCATTACCCATGTAAATACTTGGAGTATAGTATATACTCAGACATTATTAGATAAAGATATGACATTATAAGATTAAACAGACATTGTATTATTATTTCATGTTGTCGGGAACAAATGTTGAATTTGAGTGTGATCACAACATATATAGGGGAAATAGAACGAGTACAGATAAGTAAGGTTTTACAGATGGTTGATAGTACTTGAAGAATGGAGCTGATAGAGTAAGAACAAAGAGATTTGTACGGTATGATAGAGATAGTGAGGAGGAGACTAAATATCAAGGGATTCCTAACAACACAAAGAATTATCAAATAGCCAACGACACATAGAACAAGGAACATAAGACATTAAATCATCATTGTGGACATCAATAGTTTCGTATATACATATTTACATTGTGTCTACTTACAGGATATGTACACCTGAGTGGATAACACACCTAGTACAGTCACATATTATCCAGGTGATCCAATTAAGTTCTATTTATATTTATTCAGGTCGGTCTCACACGAAATCACATGAGTTGCTTCCTCCGGCTGTTCTAGAATGTAAATTCGTCCATCGCGTGTCCATGTCGCCTCAATTTTTTTTCTTTTCATCAAGTCTCTCGTGCACTTGAAAAGTTTGCTCCTGTGTTGCGTGAGATCTTCATTTATGTACACTCCTGGATTGTTTGTTCTCAGTTTTGACCTGTTGATCATGACTTGTCGTTTATCCCAGAAGGACACAAACTTGACGATAATATCTCGTCGTTTCCCCGAATGTTTCCTGCCTATTCGGTGACTCCTGTCGATATCCGAGATACGGATGTCCGGGTGTACAGTTTTTAGCACTTCTGTTACCAGTTCGTCAGTATTTTCTCCCTCGTTCTCATTAATGCCTGCAATTCTAATTGAATTTCTCCGGCTATACTGTTCTGAGCAGCACAATCTCTGACTTGAGGGGTTCGATTTCGCCTTTGAGTTTAGAGATTTCGGCTTGGAGAGGTTGCACAACAGATTTAAAATGCTCAGTTATGAGATCGGTGGCTATCTTCATAAACGCTTGGTGAAATTTCTCTTGTAATTGAGGCAGCATTAACGCACTAGAGAGTTTCGATGTTAATACATCTGTTGGCGCATCATTAATAAATTAAAACACTGAGGTAGACAGAAATGGTGGTGATTTATCAGCATTTGGTGTGATAGTTCTGTTAGTATCTGGGCTTTTGGAAGCAGTTGTCTGTTTGGGCGTACTTGTCGATGTAGGTGACATCTAAGCTTATTGTAAGCATGGATCCCAGGTTTCAGTATGCCATGTCATCTTGTGGACCCCATACCTGCTGTTGACAGGTGTTGTGTAACTTGTCAATGACTCATTCCATGATTTGCGAAATGGTTGATTGGTGCCATGAAAACCATTGTTATGGTTACTCATGTATCAAATGCATAAGGTTAGATTAAACTGACTGTTTGCTTAAAGAGGGGTTACCATATTACTATTTATCCAGTTTTATATGGATACTATTTTAAATTATAAATCTACATTTAAGTAAAATTGTGAATTTTTGTGATCCTTAGCAAAGTGTGAGTACTATAGTATCAATGATGGATGTTACTAACGGTTATAGCCTAGATGAAATATCGATCAATCAAATTGTGTTTTGGTGTCAGGTGGTAAAGTCTACATACACGAGCAAAACATGACTTCGTTTGCTACAAAAGGGAATGAGCATGACATTGGAGCGCGTTCTGTTAATCGATAACGCTAGGGCGATTGTCTGTGTGTCGTACACACTATATCTCCGCTACGGTGACTAACTGCTTAATCTCTGATTATATATAATTTTGATAGAAACAAACAATTCCTTATAAATTGAAAAGGAGCCGACGTGAGATTGGAGACTCTAAAGCTGAGGAAATCTACATTTGTTTCATTTTTGGCTTTAGTCTTACAGAAAGGGCTCGGCAGTTTTGACAATAATGTGGTGAGGCAGTGAGTGAGTTTAATTTTACGCCGGACTCAGCAATACTCCAGCTATATGGCGGCGGTCTGTAAATAATCTAGTCTGGGCCAGATAATCCAGTGATCAACAGCATGAGCTTTGATCTACGCAATTTAGATACGATGATGTGTCAACCAAGTCAGCGAGCCTGACCACTCTATCCCGTTTGTCGCCTCCTACGACAAGCATGGGTTACTGAGGATCAATTCTAACCAGGATCTTCACAGGTCGACTGTGAGACAGACTAGTATTCCCTTGACATGTATGTAGCCTATATAGTGTCTTGAGTGTCTCCTAGGTCAACTGGCTAGATATTGTAATTTTACAGAAAATTTGTTTACCAATTTACCCTCATTTTCTTCTTCTTCTTCTGTATTCTCTGGAATTCAAGGGAGGATACCATTTATTGGTCACTGTGTTAGTTGTTGTTTTCACTCGGTACCATTTTAGCTGAGGGACCGTTCATAATTTATGGCTAGGGGTAATGATGATGATTTTAAAGGTGGGGGTTGGCATCCATTTTGTTCTCGGGACGTAGGGGGTCATCAATTTTGTACACATGTACTAGTGGGGTCAGCAATTTTGTACGTTAGTAAATTAAAAAAATATGCTTAAAATTATGGGAAGGGGAAAGGGGTCATTGTCTTTGTACATGATATGCATGGGGTGGGTCACTTACTTTGCAGGGGCGGATACAGTTTTTGCAAAGGGGGAGAGCACAGTTCAGAAAGGGGTGTGCACAGTTCATTTTCACCCGTTTTCACGAGAGTTTCAGTGGTCATTTAATAAACTTTCAGGACAAAAGTGGGGTGCGCACCCCTGCACACACACACACACACACACACACACACACACACACACACACACACACACACACACACACACACACACACACACACACACACACACACACACACACACCCCTCTGGATCCGCCTATGCTTTGTACATATATTTTTTGGGGGGTAAGGGTGGGGGTAGGGGGGTGTTGTGTGTCATTCACATTGTACATGCTTCTCCATAAATTATGAACGGTCATTAGAATATCAATAGCCTTATATATACCAAGGTCACATCCTTGTTGGCTCAACACCCGACTTCAATCCAGAACGATCTTACATCCGCGTCCGGAACGGGGCTCACATCCTTGTCCGGCAATGTCATATGCGTACCTGCTATCGCCAGTGTCCGGTCTACTACGAAATGGACGCTCCTCTATCGTCAACGTCATGTGCACTGTACTATATACCAACCTCCACGACACGCGATCGTTAGATGTTTTGTCAAGTCATGGAAACGCCTTTGTCCAATACATCCGTGTCACGTGACGTGTAGCTGTACATAAAATCAAGCAACTAGCCATCGCTGTCAGTCACCCAAATACTACTGTTTGCTAACGCTCAGGTGTGCGGTTTCTTGATTACAGGTGTTAAAGATGCCTTCTTACAAGTACACGTATTTCAATCTTCGTGCGAGGGGGGAGATACCACGCCTGATTCTTAAAACTGCTGGAGTAGATTTCGAAGACAATAGGATTGAATTTAACGATTGGCCCGCCCTAAAAGCAAGTAAGTATTCTAATGTCAGTTTAGTGATGCTACCAGTCACACACATGAATTATATGTCCATGGTTCACTCGCTCTTCTGTTACCGCTCGCTATTATTTTAGTTTTCAAATTGTTAAATCGTTGAACCCACCTTTTCCAAAAGGTATTTGCTCGTACATTCTTTGTGCGCTGGCAGGCGTGACTTATCTTGCAGCAAGTTAGCTCTAGACAGCCCATTGAGATATTCGCCTGAAGGTGCTCCCCACTTGTCTGACAGTCCAATACACAAAATTGTATGGTTGAGTGAACACAAAAGAAAAGTCTGTTACCCATTACGATAATGGATTAGTCCAACTGATACTCCCGTAGTCATTGACAGAATACGGTGAAATGTAGACCTTGGCATAGGTATATTGTATTTTCATATTTACAGAATAAAACACATATTTTAATGAGCAATAAAGTGCTAAAACTAAATAAAGCACTGAAAGTCACATATATTTTAGCTATTGATTTATGAAAGATTGTATTGAGCAGCACTAAAAGTCAACACATGATGATATACATCGATATTGTCGATTTAACCCAGCAATTCCTAGTCTTGTTCTTGTTGTGGAGGTCCTGATGTAAAAGCACCTGCGTTGTTCCTCTCTGTGATGTGGCATACTCTACATTCTGCAAACCTGCCATAGTTGAAATATTTCCAACTATTGTGAAACATGCATGCATATATGCATTGCTTAGTACAAACATCCGCAATCTCACTTGAGAAGTCTTTAACAAGAATCCTTTAAAAGAACAATAATTATATAAACTTTTACTTAATAGAAAGGGTAAATCATACAGAATCATTACTAGTACAAATCACTTTATATTTGGCTAATTAGGACTGGTCGGACTGATCTATTATAAGTGTAGGGGTGAGCCTATCTATCTGTCTGTCTGTCTGTCTGTCTGTATGTATGTATGTATGTATGTATGTTCTGTCTGTCTGTCTGTCTGTCTGTATGTATGTATGTATGTATGTATGTATGTATGTTCTGTCTGTCTGTCTGTCTGTCTGTATGTATGTATGTATGTACGTATGTATGTATGTATGTATGTATATAAACAAGTGATTTCTGCAGGTGTACAAGAAATACATATATAAAAGTGACTACGCTTAGTTTCATTGTGCACCAGAAGAGCCTTTGAACTACGAAATATCTTGTGCAGATAAAGGAGTTTTTACCAGAAGAAATATCTGGACTCATCTTTTATATTTTATTGCTAATAGACCTGCAGATCGAGTCTCACCCGTTTGTTTGCATATTATTAACGCCACGAGCAAGCATGGGGTAAACGACAAGACGTCATGCTTCGTTGGTAAAGTGAGGTAAGGAGTGCGTAACCTAGCGACACTTTAACCCTTTCCCTTGTAAGCCGAATCTCAGGCAGGGTTAAGAGAAGGATACCCTACTAACGATCATATTTTCACCTCATTTGGCTTAGCGGGGCTTTTGTTAGCATGCAATAAAAACTTTTCCATGCCTTCGTTGTTATTCAAAAAGCATGTGATACAGTCCGGCTTTCTAGTGTTTGGTAGAAGCTTTAACAACATAATGTATCATGAAAATGTTTTGGGCCATTTATAACATGTACAAAAACATAAAATCATGTGTTTCATGTAATGGTATTCACACAAGTTCTTTCCCATGTAAAACAGGTGTTAGACAAGGCGACAACCTGTCTCCCCTTCTGTTTGCCATATTCTGAAATGATTTAGAGAACGCCTTTATGACTCATGTATCAGCGAGTCAATTCCAATAAACCGGTGAATTTTATGATAGAATTGGGAATATCATTAGGCTATGTTTGCTATTGTAGGCAAACGATACAGTCCTCCTGGCTACAGGGGCGGTGGGGTAGCCTCGTGGTTAAAGCGTTCGCCCGTAACGCCGAAAACACGGGATCGATTCCCGAAATGGGTACAATGTGTGAAGCCCATTTCTGGTGTCCCCGCCGTGGTATTGCTGGAATGTTGCTAAAAGCGGCGTAAAACTAAATTCACTGACTCCTGGCTATACAAATATGCAGCATTTGCAAGATATATTAGATTCATTCAGTAGGCATTGTGAGAAATGGAGGCTTCAGGTTAATGTTTCCAAAACTAAACTGATGATATTTGAAGGATCCAAACGTCAGTGTACACATAAATTTAAAATTGGTCAAGTCACTTTGGAAAATGTCGATTCTTATAAATACCTCGTGTCATATTGCAAAAGCCTTCCAAATTTATTGTTGCAAAACCGAATCAAGTAGAACAGACAATCAAGGTCATGTACTATGTTTTAAGTAAAGGGGGAAAATCCAATCTCTCTGTAGGTTGTCAACTGTGCCTTTTTGACGGCATGGTTATACCAATACTTTTGTACGGTTGCGAGATTTGGGTTTTTTCGAAAATGTATCTACCATTGCGAATGTTCATCTGCGCTTCCATCCTCGATAATCTCCGCTATATACCCTGGATGCATCTACGGCTTGGCCCGATGATTTCATTACCTCCCTTGGTTGGCTTTTTATCCAATCAGGTGTCTACGCTGGCAAGTTGAGCGAACCAATCACAACTCGATCTAGCTCACTTTCGCTTTTTTAATTATCTAACCGATTAAACTTGGCAACACAATAATATATTGGCAGAGGTACTCAGAAAGAGGTAGAAGGAGTTCTTGCATATATATATTTTTAAGGTTTCAGACCTGTCATTTTGTCTGTATGTTTCCCCCGCTAAACCTGAGTCGCACTGCGAACAAACTTTCGCGGCTGCGACCGCTATCTTTGTTGACACTGGCAAGCTCGGTTGTAGGTGAGGTGAGGTGAAATTGGGTTTAACGTCGTGCTTGAGAATATTTCGCTCATATGACGACGTGCATGCGTGTATGTGTGTATGTGCGGCTGCTTGTACTAGTCCAGACTTTAGCTGGTTTTATAGTGCTAGCCTGAGATACCATGCCGCAGTGAAGCATGAATACCCTACTCAGACACATTATACTGACTCCGAGCCGACCAGTCCTTCTTGTACCAATTAATGCCGAGCGCCAGGCAGGGACCAACAAGAACCATATTTTAACGTCTTTTGGTATGACGCGGTCGGGGATCGAACCCGCGACCTTCCGCTCTCCGGGCGGACGCTCTAACCACTACACCACGGAGGCGGTAAGCTCGGTTGTAACGGCTTATCTGATTGGCTACTGTGAGAATGCGGAGCCAGCAAAGGGAGGTAATAAAATCATCGGGCCAAGCCGTAGATGCATCCAGGGTATAGTGGAGATTTATCGGAACGTATACCCTGGAGATTATCCAGGATGCTGCGCTTCCTGAAGTATTTAACCTCACTCAGAAAAGGTACTCAAACGTTCATGGTTTGTGGTGAACTTGGTAGATTCTACATGACACATTTAGTTAAAGCTAGAATGGTATGGTTTGGGGAAAATGTACTGGAAAGATGCATTATTGGTAAATATTTTCGATGATCTTGGACTTAGTTTAAAAAAAATTACAAACTTCTAAAAGTCTGCTTGAAAACAAACTCATTGATAGCAACTTATACTTTTGGAGAGCCACGATAGATACATCTTCCAAAGGAACCACATTCAGCATCTTTGAAAATGATTCCCTAAGTTTTGAAAATTACATATGGGACAGGATGTTAGGGGTTTAATCGTCGTTTAATAATTCTCGGTTGGCCACACGAGATCAAAACATTGCTGAATCACTTTAATATTTTCAATACGATACCTAACCTCAAACCAAAATTGTTTAATTTTCTCCCGTTTCCAGGTACCCCCTTTGGTCAGCTCCCATTTATAGAGATCGACGGAGAGCCGTTCCCTGAGAGTATGTCCATCTCACGGTCCCTTGCTGCAGAATACGGTAAGTCATTGGCTGGAGTTTATAGAATCTTATAAGCCTGCACGTATATATGTACATATGTATTATCATGCTTATTATAACTTGTTAACACCCCTGAAGATCTGGGTTAAAATGGGTCTTCAGCAACCCATGCTTGAAGTATAGTATGACCAGAATTATTGAGAATTTTAGGAATATGTTTAATTGGATTTCTAGTATAAACAACCTTGACCATCTATCAAGTGCTTGGTTTCATTCAAGAGAGACAACTCCGTTATTCCTTTTTCATTAGTTTGTGAAGAGTTATCCCCCTTTGTTACTTGCTAGCAGACGACATTTGCAGTGATCCTCAGTATGGATGATTTAGAGAAGAGAAAGTTGATTTTAGAGTAGTATATAACAAGGATATCAGATCAGTTAAAGTGATTTCAAGTAGAACAGGCATCCCTTTATCTTGTTTTGAAAAATATTGCAAATGGATATGGCATTGAGCACCAGGGAGGCGCAGGTAGGCTCAGAAAATTGACTGTCGGTGACAGGAGGCGGCTTGGTATTCTTGTTTCTAAAAACAAACGAAGGAGTTTAGAAAACGTAAGGCTGGATATGATTGATAGAGGAACTGTGGCTGTCTGTAAGGAGACAATTAGAACAGAGCTGCATGCAATGGGTTGGCAGAAAAGTCGAGGAATTCCATCACCGATCATGAAACCTGAACAAAAGGAGCAAAGGTTGAACTGGTGCTTACAGCATAGAAACTTTAACTGGGACAATGTGATTTTCTCAGATGAAGGTTCTGTGTGGCTGTTTCCTAATACACTGAAATTCTGGACCAAACAAACTGAAAAACCTTTGTATCAGCGCCCAAAGTACAGTCCGAAATTTAACGTGTGGGGTGGCATATCTGTGTTAGGGGCAACGCCCTCTGTGTATTTGAAGGGAATATGAACAGTGAGCGGTACACAGATATTCTCGAGGGACATTTACTTCCATCTGCTAACGTGTTCTATGGAAATGTTTGGATTTTCCAGCAGGACAACGACCCAAAACATCGTTCAAAGCATTCACAGGCCTGGTTTCTGACCCAAAATATGACATTATTAGATTGGCCAAGCTATAGCCCTGACCTAAATCCAATAGAATATGTTTGGGGACTTATGAAGGAAAGTGTCAATAAGAAAAATCTGACAAATATTGCTGAAATGAAAGAAGAGGTGGTCCGATATTGGGACATCATGGACCACGACTTTCTAACTTCTTTGATCAGTAGTATGCCCCGCCGCATTGAAGCCTGCATTGCTGCCCATGGTGACTTGACAAAATACTAACTGTTCACCTGTCTTTGAATTTTGAGTTCTGTTCTGCTAATATTCACATTTAATACGTGAGTAATGAGTGAAAAAAAAAATTACAATCTTAAATTCTCAATAATTTCTGGTTGTACTGTAAAAGGCGACTAAAGGGATCATGTGTTTCAGACTCGCTGACTTGGTTGAACATGTCATCGTATCTGATTTACATAGATCGATGCTCATGCTGTTGATCACTGGATTGTCTGGTCCAGACTCGATTATTTACAGACCACCGTCATATAGCTGGGATATTGCTGAGTGTGGGGTTAAACAGGAAACAAACAAAACATTACTTGTTAACACTTGTTTTCATGCTTCTTGTACATTTTACGTACGCTTTTCACTATTTGACTTCCTCTTCATATTTTGTTACATCAATCTTGTTCTAAGTATGACGTATGCATTCTTGTGAGTGAGTTTAGTTTTACGCCGCTTTCAGCAATATTCCAGCAATATCTCAGAGGGGGACACCAGAAATGGGCTTCACACATTGTACCCATGGATGGGAATCCAAACCGGGTCTTTGGCGTCACGAGCGAACGCCTTAATCACTAGGCTACCCCAACGACCCTCGTTTTAGTAAATTCTTATTCATGTTACAAAAACGAATAATAACGCTTATCACAACTGATTCACATAAAAATGATAGTTTTTTTCTATACAAGAAAATTCGAATCTGCTTCTGTTATCCGAATGGAAAGTGCATAACCTCCTTAGTGGAGATAGTAGCCAGTATTATAAATCACGCATAATACGTCAGCTTCACATTACAAATCACGCATATTACGTCAGCTTCACATTATCAATCACGCATATTACGTCAGTTTCACATTACAAATCACGCATGTTACGTCAGCTTCACATTACAAATCACGCATATTACGTCAGTTTCACATTACAAATCACGCATGTTACGTCAGCTTCACATTACAAATCACGCTTTTTACGTCAGTTTCACATTACAAATCACGCATATTACGTCAGTTTCACATTACAAATCACGCTTATTACGTCAGCTTCACATTATAAATCACGCACATTATAAATCACGCATATTACGTCAGTTTCACATTATAAATCACGCATATTACGTCAGTTTCACATTATAAATCACGCATGTTACGTCAGCTTCACATTACAAATCACGCATATTACGTGAGTTTCACATTATAAATCACGCATATAACGTCAGCTTCACATTACAAATCACGCATATTACGTCAGCTTCATATTACAAATCACGCATATTACGTCAGCTTTACATTACAAATCACGCATATGACGTCAGCTTCACATTACAAATCACGCATATTACGTCAGCTTCACATTACAAATCACGCATATCACGTCAGCTTCACATTACAAATCACGCATATTACGTCAGCTTCACATAACAAATCACGCATATTACGCCAGTTTCACATTATCAATCACGCATATTACGTCAGTTTCACATTATAAATCATGCATATTACGTCAGCTTCACATTACAAATCACGCTTATTACGTCAGTTTCACATTATAAATCACGCTTATTACGCCAGTTTCATATTATCAATCACGCATATTACGTCAGTTTCACATTTTAAATCACGCATGTTACGTCAGTTTTACATTACAAATCACGCATATTACGTCAGCTTTACATTACAAATCACGCATATTACGTCAGCTTCACATAACAAATCACGCTTATTACGCCAGTTTCACATTATAAATCACGCTTATTACGTCAGTTTCACATTATAAATCACGCATGTTACGTCAGCTTCACATTACAAATCACGCATATTACGTCAGTTTCACATTACAAATCACGCATATTACGTCAGCTTCACATTATCAAATCACGCATATTACGTCAGTTTCACATTATAAATCACGCATATTACGTCAGCTTCACATTATAAATCACGCATATTACGTCAGCTTCACATTACAAATCACGCATATTACGTCAGCTTCACATTACAAATCACGCTTATTACGTCAGTTTCACATTACAAATCACGCATATTACGTCAGTTTCACATTACAAATCACGCTTATTACGTCAGCTTCACATTATAAATCACGCATATTACGTCAGTTTCACATTATAAATCCATTATACGCATATTACGTCAGTTTCACATTACAAATCACGCATATTACGTCAGCTTCACATTACAAATCACGCATATTACGTCAGCTTCACATTACAAATCACGCATATTACGTCAGCTTCACATTACAAATCACGCATATTACGTCAGCTTCACATTACAAATCACGCATATTACGTCAGCTTCACATTACAAATCACGCATATTACGTCAGTTTCACATTATAAATCACGCATATTACGTCAGCTTCACATTATAAATCACGCATATTACGTCAGTTTCACATTACAAATCACGCATATTACGTCAGCTTCACATTACAAATCACGCTTATTACGCCAGTTTCACATTATAAATCACGCATATTACGTCAGTTTCACATTATTTCACATTATAAATCACGCATATTACGTCAGTTTCACATTATAAATCACGCATATTACGTCAGCTTTACTTGACATTACAAATCGTCGCATATCACGTCAGTCAGCTTCACATTACAAATCACGCATATTACGTCAGCTTCACATTACAAATCACGCATATTACGTCAGTTTCACATTATAAATCACGCATATTACGTCAGCTTCACATAACAAATCACGCTTATTACGCCAGCTTCACATTATAAAATCACGCATATTACGTCAGTTTCACATTATAAATCACGCATATTACGTCAGCTTCACATTACATAAATCACGCATATATTACGTCAGCTTCACATTACAAATCACGCATATTACGTCAGCTTCACATTACAAATCACGCATATTACGTCAGTTTCACATTATAAATCACGCATATTACGTCACTTTCACATTATAAATCACGCATATTACGTCAGCTTCACATTACAAATCACGCATATTACGTCAGCTTCACATTACAAATCACGCATTACGCCAGTTTCACATTATAAATCACGCATATTACGTCAGTTTCACATTATAAATCACGCACATTATAAATCACGCATATTACGTCAGTTTCACATTATAAATCACGCATATTACGTCAGTTTCACATTATAAATCACGCATATTACGTCAGCTTCACATTATAAATCACGCATATTACGTCAGCTTCACATTACAAATCACGCATATTACGTCAGTTTCACATTACAAATCACGCATATTACGTCAGCTTTACATTATAAATCACGCATGTTACGTCAGCTTCACATTATAAATCACGCATATTACGTCAGCTTCACATTATTATAAATCACGCATATTACGTCAGCTTCACATTATAAATCACGCATATTACGTCAGCTTCACATAACAAATCACGCATATTACGTCAGCTTCACATTACAAATCACGCATATTACGTCAGCTTCACATTACAAATCACGCATATTACGTCAGCTTCATATTACGTCAGCTTCGCATTACAAATCACGCTTCATATTACGTCAGCTTCACATTAAATCACGCATATTACGTCAGCTTCATATTATAAATCACGCATATTACGTCAGTTTCACATTATAAATCACGCATATTACGTCAGTTTCACATTATAAATCACGCATATTACGTCAGTTTCACATTATAAATCACGCATATTACGTCAGTTTCACATTACAAATCACGCACATTATAAATTAAATCATATTACGTCAGCTTCACATTATAAATCACGCTTATTACGCCAGTTTCACATTATAAATCACGCATATTACGTCAGTTTCACATTATAAATCACGCATATTACGTCAGCTTCACATTATAAATCACGCATATTACGTCACTTTCACATTATAAATCACGCATATCACGTCAGCTTCACATTACAAATCACGCTTATTACGTCAGCTTCCTATTACAAATCACGCATATCACGTCAGCTTTAAATTACAAATCACGCATGTTACTTCTGATTCGCATTACAAAACACGTATAATACTTCCTTTCAAATTGGGTGCGTATTGCTTCTCATTCATATCATATAAAACGCATATTATGTTTTATTAGAAATACTTGTCTCCTGACGAGCTCATTCGAAACTCTGCTTGAATTCAGGCGTTGCCGGGAAGACTTCCCGGGAGCGACTCAGGGCGGACGTACTCACAGAGCAGACCCGATCCATGAAGGAGGGTATCTACAAATACTTCTTTGAGGGCGACGCCAACATCAAGGTAAGTTCTTGAAAGGCATTTAACTGTTGGACGAACGTGTATACATCTGACCGGGTGGTCAGGCTCGCTGACTTGGTTTACACATGTCATCGTATCCCAATTGCGTAGATTGATGTTCATGCTGTTGATCACTGGATTGTCTGGCCCAGACTCAATTGTTTACAGACCGCCGCCACATAGCTGGAATATTGCTGAGTGCGGCGTTAAACAACAAACCAACCAACCAGCAAAACCTAAGACTCACGTGTACATGTTCATATTTCAGGCAGAGGCGCAGAAGAAGTTCGAGGAGGAGATCCGGCCCAAGTACCTGAAAACCTGGGAGCAAGCGGCCAAGGACAATGCTTCCGGGGCAGGGCACCTCGTGGGTAATACTGTAAGTACACTCTACCCATCCACACACGTTTGGGAGAGAGTGAGTGTATGTCATGCCTCCTTGAACAGAATATCAGTAATATATCACATACACACAACACACACACCACTCCACTCACACACACACACCATAAAAAAACCAAAACACACACACACATGCTTAGGATGCCAAGCACCAGACTGTCCGGTCCAAATTCGAATACTTACCGCTGTCATATAGTCAATAAATTGCTGAACAAACAAACAAGCAAACAAACAAACGAAGCACCTGTTGAACATATGGACATTACTGATCGGTAGATATGTTCCTCCCCAGCTGACCATTGCTGACCTGGCCATGATGGACACTCTGGACGCCGTGCTGCAAGACGAAGCCTTCAAGGCCACGTTCCCAAAGACCTACCCCAACCTGGCAAAGAACTACAACACAGTGACTGGCATCGCGAATATCAAGAAATACCGGGAGTCAAGGCCACAGACCTCCATTTAAACATTGACTTTCATTGTACAACAAGTGGACGTGGATGTGCCATACACTGGCTGACTTGTCCCAACGCTTTATCAGCAAAACGTCCAAGAATTTGCACTTTACAAATAGAGTGTTATCCGAAATAAGATGTGTTACTTTTGACCACTTTCTACAGTTCATTGTGTGTTCATAGTTTTCGGTCATCAAAGCCGTTTCAAGTTCCACTTGTCAGAGGAGTACGCAAAATAAGTGTGCGAGACTACCATACTGTTAAAAAATGTAGGGGAATTGAACTTTCAGTTTGGATAGGAAATAAGCGTTAACACACTTTTCAAAGACAGATTATCTGATGAACGCACCACCATTTCTCTTTATCACCACCCCTAAACACAACCACGGGAGGGACAGACGCAGGAGCCCCATTCACGTGCAATGTTGTGAAATTCTTGACTTTGACGGTTTTCAAGAAAGTTGATAAATCACTCTAGACCATTAATTTTGACAATCATTTTGCATCACACAGTTGTTAGTGTTTGTTTCTAGCCGGTTTTTTTTTTCTTAAATGAAAATCGTACACATGCAAATTTCACGTCATACACCAATCATCTTTCAAGAGCAATTACAGTACAAACAACTATGGTCATAAGGTAGTGCAAGTGGTGATGCACTCTCAAAATATTCATTATTATCGGATCAACATTGATTGACTCCGATATATCTCCGAATTTTTTCAAGATTACTAATGATTTTTAGATTACTTCGTGATTTTGTGTGAAAAGTGATTTATCCAAAACTCAACCCGAAAAGATCCTAGATTTATTACTTCGTGATGAAAAGTGTTATCCAAAACTAATCATTTGTTGGCCACTTTCATAAAGCTGTTATTTTGCTAGTCTAATCGCCCATCCCCAGGTGGTTCACGGCAGTCGTCGTTAAATTTCATGTAGTCAGAAGCGGATTGTCTTGTTTTGTTGTTACTGGTTGTTTCCAGCAAACGTTAAGACACACTCGTTGTTTGAACACCAAGTGTTTCACTTATGACACATATAATTAATTCGCTGTGTTTTCATAGGGCAATATATTTTATGACTTTAACTTGTGTTTGTGTTGTTGTTGAAGATTTGAGACATTTTATATAAACACATCGAGAGAGAGAGAGAGAGAGAGAGAGAGAGAGAGAGAGAGAGAGAGAGAGAGAGAGAGAGAGAGAGACCACTTAAGGACATTTGAATTCCCACAGAGAGAGAGAGAGAGAGAGAGAGAGAGAGAGAGTTAAACAACTTAGATTTGGAAACCACTTAAGAACATTTGAATGCCCACAGATCAGATTTTGGCACCAACAGTTGTCCACTTTTTGTAACAAAATGCCCTCCGTTGCAGTCTGCTAAACAGCTTGGGTTTGGAAATTTGGAGAAGAAATGTTAGTTGCCTCTTACGACAAGCATGGGTTGCTCAAGACCAATTCTAACTCGTATCTTCACGGGTTCGAATTTATCTGTGCGAAGAGCCTCGAGAGGACAGCCCGTGTAAAAGGTTCCAAAGTTTTCACCGTGTGGGGTGGATCTCCACTGTTCTTGTTACCCTCCTATCTTTGAAGAGGTAAAATTAAGTGGGAACAGTATGGTCAGTGTCTTCAGGAAGGCTTAATAAAACGTGCCATAAGAGTATTCCTTTGGTGCTACTGACGGACAAAGCCAACCTCCATCCATTCACAGAACGCAATTTTTCGGGTCCCAGTTTTACTCACACACGGGTTGGGTTGCCGTCATAGATTTTCTGACCGCTTCTTTATACCATTGTAAGATGTCTAGCAGCTGATTTTGGATATCAATGCTAAGAAGTTGCAGCCAGGCTATCTTGCGAAAGGGAACCGCCGAATCTACCATTGCCAGTTTAAAGGCATTATGATGGCGCAAAACTTACTATGGACAGAGTACACTCACTGAACATTACTACTGTTCATGTGAACGATTGGACCCGTACTGAGATTTGCAGAGTTGTCGCCCTTAGGTGTTCCTGAAACCCGTGCTAGTGGCTTCGAATACCATTCGCCCAGATGTAGCACAATGTTTCTGTGTGTAAGCACCATACTGTGGCCGTGACTTCCACCAAAGAGGTAAATATCTGTGACGTGCATCACTTCTTGTTATCCTTCTACGTACGGCTGACATAGACTTTAATTGCTGTTCAAACCACCATTAAATCAAACTGAATCATGATCAAATTACTAAGGGACCAGTTAAAATGCTCGACGTGACTTTCTACCATGACTTCAGTAAATACTGGATTGTGATTGGTTGATTAAAGCCATTCAGAGGTATATATAATCACGTTATATACCTCTGATTTTCCAACACAGTATATGTATTTGTTTTTAATCTTAATAACGCGGTTATGGTAGAATAGAGATAACCATACTGTGTTTATCTCCAAAATATTTCCCGTTCACAAACAAACTTCATCATGAAAATGTGAACTTCGAAAGTATTGAAGCCATTTTTGTCACGCATTCACAGAACGTCTACCGAGTGAAGTTTATTTACAGGGTGTTGAAATTCAATAGCAGTCTTTTCGTTTTTTTTTTATAGATGGAATCTGCCATTCATTATAGCTAAAATGGATAGAATTATCATTAAAACGCCCGCACATTATCAGAAATGAGCGGGCCACTGTAACTTGATAATGCCCGCAAAATGCTTGACGACGGGCCATTATCAAGCCCGTTGTTAGGTGACGTCATAAGTATCTCAACTGTTGATATAAGGGGTAACGTTATTTTTCACAGTGAAGTTTATTAACAGGGTCTTTTCAACTGCCCTCCTTCGTCGGGCAGTTAACAAGTCTAGAAATTGTGGCAAGTCTAGATTTCCACAGCTGCGGGAAATGAAGAAAGTCTCAGGGCTCCTTTTCATTATTTTTTTTTTTCACTATGAGCTTTTTTCTGTAAAATATGTTCATTTCAGAGACTAGTTTTTAGTCTAACATTTAACCAACATCGACTTATTTAACTGACCCGCTACTGTGTGTGGCCCTTAATGAAGGTTTGAAGCGCTCATAATAGCATTTGAGGCTTGTAAATACCAGGGTCCCGATCCTTAAAGCGTCCATAGTGTTACGCCCCGTCATAGCTCTATAGTTTACCATACTGGCTGCCGAACAGTTATAGCCATATTTTAGTGGTATTTACAAAATTACTTCGCTGTTCGCTTGAATTTGCTGTTATTTTGATCGTGTGACATCCCCTCGATTAAGTTTAAAAAAATTATCGGGTTCAAAACTTTATCTTAATTTTTTTCATATGTTACTTACCGTGAATTATTTTCTGTTGCTGTCCTTTATTGTCGTCAAATACCGCGGGGGAAAATACCCGAATTGTAATTGACCGGAACTGCGTACGTGTGATACTGATGTATTGGCGAAAACTGTTCGCCAGCCAGTAGGCTTCGGGATTTATCGGATTCATAAGCTATCCATATTTTTGTCGTAACTTTGGTTAGTTTTCTGTGCTCAGTGTGAGCAAACACTGCCAAAATAATCAATGTTTATCAAATACATACGCGACTTTGGAAAATAAGATTAACGATTAGTGTGTGAAAATGTTAAGGACTGCGTCCCGATCCACAAAACGTTCGTGGCGCGACGACTTTCGTAAGCCTGTGATAAACTATAGATTTACGACTGGTCGTAACGTTACGAACGCTTTGTGGATCGGACCCGAATTGTAAAGTGGTCCAGATGGAAGATTCAGACCTTGATGAAAATCTTGAATTGCTTCATTTCGGACTTTTGCATTACCCTCAGGGCTGGGTGCAACAGAGGTGCGAGTGAGTTTAGTTTTACCCCGCTTTTAGCAATATTCCAGCAACATCGCGGCAGGGAACACCAGAAATGGGCTTGACACACTGTCCCCATGTGGGGAATCGAATCCAAGTCTTCAGCTCGACAAGCGAACGCTTTAACCACTAGGCTTACTCCACCTCCCTGCAACAGAAGAAATTATTGTTCGGGGACTATTTCACAATGGACTAGCCATGGATCAGTTATTTTGGGACCTAGGCAGATAAAGAACACATGCTGGATCAACACAAAGATCGCAGGTAAATGTTTCCCATTACATCGAAAACAAACAAACCTAATGTTTATATTTGTACCTAAACAAACAGACTGTGACAAAAATTCTGAAGGTGAGCCCACCACTGCCAAAATCAAGCACCAAAATGATACCAAAACAATTTCTAATCCCTAAATTTCTGAAAAAATACACACAGTAAATTGTATTTTTCAGATGCAAAGTTACTCGCTTATGATTAGAATTCGAAAACATAAGACTTTGGTAAAATCAAGGAAACATAATTTAGTAAACCAATTAATATTACCTGAGTCAATATCAGAATATGCAGGAATTGGATGTTGACAAATTCACCAAAGTCACATGTTGTGAAGAAGAATTTGACTTTTATTTATTGGAACTACAATAACTGTAATGCTAGAAAACATATAAATGCAACCTTAAACATATCAGGATTTTACAACAAAATCAAATATATGTATCACCAGTAGTGACGCATGTCCTTCCTGTAACAGTCAATTATCCTTCATCAAAATATTACTTATATCAAATTTCACTTACTTGTCTAGCTCAGGGGGTTATTTACATTTGCCTCTTGCAGATCAATAAACTACACACATAACTGAGGTGGAAAATACATATAAAGGCCCACATTAATTTCTACATCATCATATTTCCTCCTTGGAATTGCGACAACGTCAGTGATTGATTGTTGCTAACATACTGCAACAACATACAAACACTACGTACTATCAGATGGGTACTAATGCTAGTGAGTAAAGAAGTTAGTGGTTTGTACATGTACTTTTACTTGATTTTCTACCAAATATAACGACTGTTACAGGAATGACATAACCGTTACAGCAGGGACAAGAAATGTAACAGGAGTGACATTTTAACCCCAAAACACAGAATACATATACATGCAAACATGAACAAACTTTGGCACATAATGACTTCGGAATGTAAGAGAAAACATATTTACACAGCCTTGTCCTGGTAAAGATATGCAATTACACAGAGGTATTCTTGGCAATTTTTAAGGTGGATGTTACGGGAAGGACCTCCAGGCGTTACTGGGAGGACAATTTAAACCCTAAAAGGCTGATTATTTCAAAATGCAAACATGAACAAACTTTGGCACATAATGACTTTGGAATGTAAGAGAAAACATATTTACACAGCCTTGTCCTAGTAAAGATATGCAATTATGCAGAAGTATTCTTGGCAATTTTTAATGTGGATGTTATGGGAAGGACCTCCAGGCATAGTGTGCACATTCCATATGTAAAACTGTGCATGCAAGAAAGCATTCTTTTTGTTTTATTTGGCACATAACGTGATTGAAATAAAACCATTTTTTTAATGCCTTGGTAGATGCAAATATAATATGCTAGTGATGACGAAACACCACGTACGTGTTAAAGGAAGGACATACAGGTATAGATGTTTTTCACTTACATCCAAATGCAAGTTAATTCTGATTTTATGTCAATGCTATTCTACAGTATTATAAAGTAAACAATCAAAAAATCAAAAATGATGACACATGTGAAAATGGAATACAAAGGTTACCGTATAATATCTCTGCTTATCTACCAGATCCCATTCTAAGAATACAGATTTCAATGATTACTGAAGTACAGGGGTGTTGTTTCTGTCTTTTCAAGTCTGAGCTTTTATCAGAGTTCATGCATAAAGATTCTTCACAGATTCTGTTCCACACACTGTACTGCATATAACCATATATCATTGTCAACTTCAAACAGTGATGAACCAGGAATCTGTGTGGGCTTTGGGATGATAGCAATCACATCACTGTGGTCATACCAGCATCTGTCAAGCAATTTTTGGGCCAGTAGAAGCAGTTGGCAAATATTTTGCTGGTTTTATGCATGCATTCCACCAAAACATCATCAACCCCAGCATCAAGCACTACCTCAGGGTATGGGATGTCATCATATCTTACAATTACATATTTTGCCAATGAGATTTGCAGGTGCTGGAACATCCATTTTGGTTTCTTCTATCAGATTTTCACAGTCTGCCACAGATGGTTCGCATTCACCATCTTCTCTCATTTCTGCACAATCCTTCTCCTGTTTCATGTCAGTGCTGTCCATTTCTGTTTCACCCGCCTGTTTCATGCTATCCATTTCTGTCTTGCCCACCTGTTTCATGCTGTCTATTTCTGTCTTGCCCACCTGTTTCATGCTGTCTGTTTCACATTTCTGTCTTGCCACCTGTTTCATGCTATCCATTTCTGTCTTGCCCACCTGTTTCATGCTGTCCATTTCTGTTTCACCCGCCTGTTTCATGCTATCCATTTCTGTCTTGCCCACCTGTTTCATGCTGTCCATTTCTGTCTTGCCCACCTGTTTCATGCTGTCCATTTCTGTCTTTGTTTCATACTACCCATTTCTGTCTTGCCCACCTGTTTCATACTATCCATTTCTGTCCCAACTGTTTCATTGCCATTTCTGTCATCTGTTTCATGCTGTCCATTTCTGTCTTGCCCACCTGTTTCATGCTGTCCATTTCTGTCTTGCCCACCTGTTTCATGCTGTCCATTTCTGTCTTGCCCAACTGTTTCTTGCTGTCCATTTCTGTCTTGCCCAACTGTTTCATGCTGTCCATTTCTGTCTTGCCCACCTGTTTCATGCTATCCATTTCTGTCTTGCCCAACTGTTTCATGCTGTCTATTTCTGTCTTGCCCACCTGTTTCATGCTGTCCATTTCTGTCTTGCCCACCTGTTTCATGCCTGTTTTCATGCTGTCCATTTCTGTCTTGCCCACCTGTTTCATGCTGTCCATTTCTGTCTTGCCCACCTGTTTCATGCTGTCCATTTCTGTCTTGCCCACCTGTTTCATGCTCTTGCCCACCTGTTTCATGCTCTTGCCCACCTGTTTCATGCTGTCCATTTCTGTCTTGCCCACCTGTTTCATACTATCCATTTCTGTTTCACCCGCCTGTTTCATGCTATCCATTTCTGTCTTGCCCACCTGTTTCATGCTGTCTATTTCTGTCTTGCCAACCTGTTTCATACTATCCATTTGTCTTGCCCAACTGTTTCATGCTGTCCATTTCTGTCTTGCCCACCTTTCTCATTCTATCCATTTGTCTTGCCCACCCGTTTCATGCTATCCATTTCTGTCTTGCCCACCTGTTTCATGCTGTCCATTTCTGTCTTGCCCACCTGATTCATGCTGTCCATTTCTGTCTTGCCCAACTGTTTCATGCTGTCCATTTCTGTCTTGCCCACCTGTTTCATGCTGTCCATTTCTGTCTTGCCCAACTGTTTCATGCTGTCCATTTCTGTCTTGCCCACCTGGGTGCCGTTGTACAAAGCAATCTTAGCGCTAAGGTGACCGTAGCTCCCACACCTTAACATAGACTTAAGGTAGTCTTAGCGCCAAGATTCTTTTGTACAACGGCACCCTGTTTATACTATCCATTTTTCTTGCCCACCTGTTTCATACTATCCATTTCTGTCTTCCCCAACTGTTTCATGCTGTCCATTTCTGTCTTGCCCACCTGTTTCATGCTGTCCATTTCTGTCTTGCCCACCTGTTTCATGCTGTCCATTTCTGTCTTGCCCACCTGTTTCATGCTATCCATTTCTGTCTTGCCCACCAGTTTCATGCTGTCCATTTCTACCCTTTCCATCTGTTTTATGTCAGTGTTGTCCGTGTCCATGTACGTTTCTAGAGTGACTGGCAGAGCTGGTACAAAGTGATTTGGAATCTAGTGTCTTTCATTCATGTCTAATCTTGTACTGGTCCACATGATGTAAATTGGTTTTGAAGAAACAGGGCTGTTCTCTCGAGGTCTTGGCATTGTAGAATTTCATGATATTTGTGTGAAAAATTATGTCATGTTTTCAATGCAACTCAGATTTTGGACCTTTAATTGAATTCAATTATAGTCTTAGTCCTTCCAGTAACAGATATGGTCATTCCTGTAACGGTAAGGATTACCCCTGAGAAATAGAAAGAATAATAATCCATCAACTTCATGACCTTTTAATTGATTACTTTGACATCATAATTAGAATATCTAATCATTATCAGCACCCTATTCATTAATAAACAAAAACTGAATCAAAATAAAATTAAAAGTGTCACTCCTGTAGCAAAACCTGTCCTTCCAGTAACAAATCATCCTGTTACAGGAATGACTGTTACGGGGATGACTCTATTCATGGTAAAACATAAATATTTGACAATTAATGGCCTCCTTATCTTTTGAGGGGAAATGTTGGTCATCTGTATCACTGATGCTACCTGGTAAATGATTCCAGCTTCACAAAAACACAAATGCAGGTGGTTGATGGCCTTTACTGGAAGGACGTTACAAAAATCTACTCCAGAAATTCCTACCATAAATGGGTATTTTCTGGCAAACTGTTCAAGTTCAACTACATTCACCACATGGCACTTGAATAAACAGGAAGTGTTCCATAAGCAGGACAGGAAGTTGTGAAGAAGCCTTGGAGGGACCAATTGTTATTTTGAAATTTACTAATTTGTTATGGGAAGGACATGTTTCTTAAGGCCATGAACAAATATGTTTATTTTCATGATGTATCAAATACTTTTGAACAAGTTTAGTATTTCAAAACAAAGTTTAGGAATTTATAGGGCATTTGCACAAATTTAATGATTTTTTTAATGCAATATGTTGATTTGGGGCAATGAGTATAAGCAAAGGGGTCAACCTTGGACAGGCCCAAATGTGCATTTTACCTTGATGATATGGCCTATAAAAAGTAAAATTGAGTAAATATTATTTGAAAACTATATTACATGTGTAGAATGTGTCCCTAAAAATATAATGAGACAAAATTTTGGAATTTAATAAACAATGGAAAAGGCTATGTAATCCGGACAAACATTCCTGCATATTCTGATATTGACTCACCTACAAAAAATATTTAAAACATCACACCCAAACATTCACATTATTTAAAAGCAACCATACCAGTTCCAATTTTTAGTATAAGAGCTAGCCCCTTTGAATCCAGGTTGAATCCTGGTTTGAAATGATCTCAGCAATCTTGTACTGGTGTCGAGTTCATGACTAAGTTGATCATGTCAGACTGAGCTGATTAGTGTCATCCCATCGATGAGTGAGTGAGTTAGTTTAGTTTTACACCGCACTCAGCAATATTCCAGTTTCATGATGGCCGTCTGTAAATAATCGAGTCTGGCCCAGACAATCCAGTGATCTACACAAACAGGATACTATTGTGTCAATAAAGTAAGCGTTCCTGACAACCGGATCCGTTAGTCGCCTCTAACATTTATTTCCCACGGTCTCAATTCATGACTACAGCCTAAAACACTCACTTAATTTAAAACAAGGTCCTTGTGTGCATGAAAAATACTAGCATATGTTTTGGTAAGAAGAAAGTGAATCCTGGAAACCTATCTTTGTGCTATGCACTGGTGTCCAAAGTCTCACCTGATAAAGAAATAACAAAACCTTGAAAAAATGCAAGCCCTTTTTATTTGAACAGTTTGGGCTTGTGGTATTCCTTTTTACAATTGTATACATAGAGCATGCAAACAGCAAAGGCAAACTAAATCACAAATGATATTGTAACCATGGTAACAAGCACTTTTAACATCCAAGCTCAGTAGAGCTATACTTTCCTGAAATATACATCTCAAACTGGTCATAAAAAGTTCCATTAGGTGTGAACTGAACAGAAACAACAATACAAAGGACAAGTCCATTTAGCTTGCTAAAGGATGTCAATGAAAATAAAATGTTGCATAAGGCCGATATTCCCAGCACAGGTGTGGGTCAGGGCCCAATCCACAAAACAATCCAAGCACTATGACTGTCCCAAGTCAGTGTAACACTATGTAATGGGTGTGATCATGGTCTTAGCTCTAAGATCCCTTTGAGAAATAGGGCCCAGGACAGGGTTTAGCGTAGTTTGCGCCTGCTATGTACATACCAACAAGTGAATATCAACTAACTGTGTTCACCAAAGCATCAAACTCTGCAAGATGTGCGAGTGTGTATGTGTCAATGCCTGAAGACTCAGGCATACCACAAAAGCTGTTGCCAAGTCAATGTCGGACTCAATATCACAATGGGTGCTGGTAAACAGGTATTTTTTTTTCTGTTCAGGAAGGAATTAACAGCTGTTAGGCCAGACTTAAAATTTCTTGGTTAACAGACTTATTAAAATATACTTGATGTGGGACAAAAGGGCCTTTCAGAGTGGCTTCATTATTCAAAATCTATTTTGATATTGCAGTGTGAGCAGCTTTTGAAAGCCCTTGTTAGCCTTGAAATCTTGTGCTATATATTTCATATATGCACACTATTTGAATAGTGAATACAATGTAAATTTTACATTCAGCAAAATGCAAACAATGGTGCCTTCCAGGATACCTTTTCACTTTTAATTTCGAGTTGGCTAAATCCATAAACAAATTCTTGCTCTAACATAACGCCTAATCGTGTTCCAGTGCAAAGCAGCAGCTATATTTCCAGATGCATCTGCGGTATGAAGTCTTGTATCTGCCATTGAGAAAGTCAGTGGAGGATGACAGGCAAGTTATAGTAGTCTATGAAAATTTCCCAAGTGTAAAATCTGCATACTGTAGTTATTGCATTAAACAGTCCAAAAGTAGTTGTTGTAAACCATAATTAAGATTTTGTTAGATAACATACAAAAAATCTGTATTAAAAGGTGTTCTTTGATCTAATGACCCCCAAATACAGCTTTGAAAGTACTGAAATATTTTCACTCCGATACGTGTATTCCTTGGTAACCCAGGAATATTCTGTAAAAGCATCTTAGAAACTTACTGATGGCAACAACGAAATTTCTGAAGGCATCTTAGGGATTTCAGGGCTTTTATAGTTCTAAATATATTACAGCTTTTATACCCTACTGAGGAATCACTGTCAGATCCAGTATCTGCAACAATTCTACACCAACCAACCGAACCCACCCCTCCTTTTTCAGATGCCCAATATTTTTAGGACATGTGTATTATGCACACTCGTTTTCAAAATCCTTGACATTCTCTGTGAATGTTCCACATACTGACTTTACATATATTTGAATAATTCTACTTTGCACCCCCAATGTCGAAGACTGAACATTCCAAGCATATGCTTGAAAAGATGTTCACTAATACTAAACACCCAAAAATATGTATAAAACCTTCAGCATTCTGAAATGTTTTCAAACCTAAAAATCTTAAATAAATAAAGACAAAATCAAACAGATCTGTCTGCTTTATTTGGCATGCATGTATCTCAAACTGATGTGAACATAACCAGTCTTAGTACACATGACTTATTTACTATTAACTACTAAATGATGCATTATGTGGTCCAGTTCAAGCATGTGTGAGATCTGTAGAAACATGGTATGGCTTGCCATACAGGACTTCGAGTTTAAGCATTTTTGTAGTTTAAATGCAGCGTATTTATCTACCAGTGCAAACCTGAACAACCTCAGCCTCTAATTAAATATTGGCTTGCTTTTCATGTACATGTACCCAATAAGACACCTTGAGATAGACTAAAATGAATATCCAACAATGCTAAATAGAAAGTGGTCCAATGTAACATATCTTATATTTGGGATTACACTTTCTGAGTTCGGTACAGATTCAGGTACTTCAGGTTGAGTCCTGTCCTGATTCGATCCCACTCTGAGTCAGGCACCTAATCGCCAGCACACAAAATCGATCTAACTTCCACTGTTGGGCTTCGTGGAAGCCGAGGTGGCTGTTTGGGTTAGATTGCCGACTTAATGTGCCTTAGGTGCCTGACTCTGAGAGTGTGGACTTGAATCTCGGACGGGACTCAACCAAAAAGTGTCCTGAATCTCATATTAGTGATAAACAGACTTAACAGCAAGAGCTCTGTTTGATGTTCTTGTATTCAAGAAAGCCATGAAGGACATTCAGGTGGAAAATCTGCCCGTGTACAATATCTCAAAACTGCTACCCATGTACATGCACGTCCAGGTTCCCAAATATCTGTTTCCTAGGTACCACTATGTCAAATCAGTATTTATACAACTTGCTTAATTTTTTCAGTGACATAGATAATCTATTAAAACAACAATAGACTTTGAAACAATATGAACATGAACATACAAAGGAATACAATGACTGGTTAAGGACAGACCTCGAGGTCATGTTGGGGGTCCACAGGTCCCTTCAGATACAAACTAATGCTTTACTAAACCAGGACTAATTTTTTTAGAAAACTAGTCCTTTCGGATTTCCACTAGTCACGGGCCAGCATCTATCAAACTAAATGACAGTTTCACGAGAGAACCTGTTCACACCAAGCATGGACTATAACACTACCCTGTGGATGAACAATCTGTAAACTCCAAAACAAAGACTAGCATCGGAGATACATCAACCAAAACATCTGTCTATGTTAAAATGGAAATTAATTGGTCACTGCTTTACAAAGGACTCCTCTCTAAATCTATAATGTTGGAATGACTTTAACTGCTATATACTGTTTTACCTTATGAACCAGTGTTATATGTATATGTGAGCGAATCGTCAATAGTGATGTTAGATAAGTTGATGGAATGCTGTAAAGACTGTATAAAATTGGTTGTTGCATAAATATCACATGTAGTTTATTAGTTAGTAAAAAATCTGCTTTCTTGATAAAAGTCTGTGCCCACAAGCCATGAAGGGAGTACACCGTACTCAGAAATGTTTCACAGACTTTGCCGCAGAATTGTTTTATGTCACTTGCTATAGAATTGTTTAACGGCCCTTGCCGTAGACTTGTTTTATGTCACTGGCCATTTGCCAGAGAAATGTCTAAAACAAATGAGGATCTGTTTTCAGATATTTTACTCCCACCCTCTACAAGTTCCTAACATAGTGAGAGGTGTGTCTTGTAATTCAAGACAAGCTGTAGAAAAAAGCTGGCTTAATCATAAATACACTTTTTCAAAAAATGAAATCAAACTCCAATTCCATGAAAGCATGGCAATTGCATCATATACAAACTGAAGTAAATGTTTGGAAGCGTAGATTGTACTGTATTTAAAAAATAGTTGTCATTTTTTCTGTCTTCACAAAAAGCGCAGCAGAGATTCAAACAAATGCTGAATAGGCATATGAAAAAAGGAACAGTCTTTGGTTCTCAGATTACTCTTAAGTTCTGTCAATTTATACAATGCAAAAGCCATAGCCTAATGCATTCAACTGCGTATCTTCTACAGTTAATGGTGTAATGACATGTCGAAACAGGTTCACATCAAGACAAGTTTCACAATATGAGACATCTATTTCTATTTCCATTGGCAGTGTCACAATTCCAGAAAAAGAATTAAAGAAAGTCCTAAATATCTGGGCAGTTCATAAGACTGAAATGGGTGACAAGACCAAAATAGAAATATGTTTGTATAACAATATTATCTTAAGTTGGGAGTCACTTAGTCTTAGACAAAGAAACATGCGAACATGAGTTTGAAAGCAACCCTACATCGACTTAGTAAATATATATCACATATCCCCTGATTCTTAAATCCTCCTAAGACTTATTCTTTTTTAACGTTTCTTGCGGTCCAAGCCTGCTCGATATTCAGTCCTTCACAAAAGGTGAAGGTCGGACTTAAGTCCCAATAACTACCTTTTTCTTATGGACAGAAACTCAGCGGCAAAATGTACAAAACTGTTCAGGACCTAAACTATAAAACTGAGCAGTGAAATTCATAAAACATGTTCAACTTCCAAAGAGAAATCATTCTAATGGGCTGTATACAGAGATTCATTCGCAAACCAGCCTCCAAGTCAGAAGTCGCTAAGTAAAAATCATCATATTGTGTGCAAGGCTCAGGGCTGTGAACTGAGACCAAGTGTTCTAGATGGTAAGCAGTCAGCAGTAGCAACTCAAAGACTAATTAGACCAGATATAATCACAGAGTCAGACAGTGGTACAACTGGATTACCAGGAACTTTATGACTGTACAGTCTAGCTGTTTTAGCTCTGGAATGAATCCCTGAAGATCCAGTTCCTGTATTAACAATCAAAGGATGAACAAGATCACTGTCCAGTGGAACTTTCTGTGCCAAGAACCCTTTATTTATTCACCAAAAGTTCTTCAGAGATATTTCCATGTGACATTTTGTCATAATATATGGTCTATTGAAAGGTACCAAACCAATTTAGAGTTTGCTTGACTCAGGGTTCTAGTGGTTAAAGTCACAGACTGGAGTAATATCCTTTTTACATGGAGAGATTCCAGATAGACTTGTTTTAAAATTTACAGGGTCTGAACCAGCAAGGTTTCACAGTATACAAATGTACATCTTTGAAACAAGACAAACAAAAAGACTGGTACATCATCCATAGCAAGCAAACAGTATCACATTTTTTACAGTTTTTTTTACTCCAACCATAAACTTGTCAACAAAATACAGCAAGACAAGCTTGACAAAAGATGACTGACTGGTACTAACCATCTCTGAATGATGGGTATGTTTGGACCACCAGGTAGACTTGCATACATGTACAGTTTGTCATAATATTAACATAGTGTCTACTACAACAGTGCTCCGTATCAAGTCTCTAGAACCGTGTACAACACATACATGCTTTCTCTAGTCCACCTCAAACAGAAATATGCCATGAACATCTTCACCAACCAAAACAATTCACTGAATAACCAAACGGAATTCAGGAAATGGTTCCAAATGAGACAGTTAGGAATATTACACTTGAAGATCCAGATTCCATTTGACTGGAAAATTACATTTTAGGGAGAAATGGATTTTCAAGTAAAAAAAAAGATTTCATTAATCACAAAACAAAATGTGAATTGGGCCAACGTCCCAAAGATTCATAGGTCTGTTACTGCAGAATGAGATCTTGGTGCTGCTATCGGCAGCTTGGCTTTGAGGTGGACACAAGTCATAACACAAGTGGTGCCTGGGTGGCTATGAATACAGATGCATAATGCTTGCTTCATGGAGTTGCATTGTAGAGGATGAACATTATATATACATATGGATCAATGAGGAGTCCAGACAGACGATGATGAGTTATGCTGCAACTCTATCCTAGGTTGGTCTGCCAGGAGCATCACGGACAATGGATGAATCAGGGCTGCTTCGGTGTCGTAGGAAGAGTATGCAGTTCATTCAACGCAAAGGCCTCTAACATAAAACATGAGAAGCATCTGTATCTGAGTTCAGGCATCCTAAATCCAATGAATTCAACAATTAACGGTCTCTGTAAACTTGAAATGCACAACCTTCACTATGGACGTCTGAAGACAGCGAACAAGTAACAAACATGGAACAAGTGTGGTGGCCGGTTTCTCTAAGGTACTGTGTCTGGGTTAGCACTGATGATGTACAGGCTGGCAGAACTATGATGAGGATGAGGACTGGTGATGGATGGCCCCGCGTGCTGTTCAAGCTGTTACTGATGATCATATGACACATCCAACTATCATCGTGGACACTTATGATGATGATGACAGGTTATTATGATTACAACAGCCCACTATCTGCAACAATAGATTTCCATTGACAATAATATTTCCAACAGCCTGTTTGTTTGAACAGATCCACCATCAATTCAAATCAATCCACACTATTTCATCAAGAAACGTCACCAATAGGCAGTTCTTGAGAGGGCTTCTGCAAGAACTCATCTTTGTCTCTGTCAACAACCTCTGTTCAGGGGAACTTCAAGCTTCATTCAGGCAGAACCATGAAAACAATGACACATCCCATGGACTATCTCAATATGCAAGAGTAATATGCATCATAAGCCTCTGGAAAGCCGTCCTTATTCACATGGATCCAGGTAGAAGTCCCAACCAGCCCCAGAGTCGATTCAAACAAACAGGCACTATACGAGGAGTCAATGATGCAGTACAGCAATGCACGGTATCACTAGTGATGGTGTTGTACATATGTCAGTAGACTGGCGTGGTGAGAGACAGCAAGTGATGGTTACATGCTATATAGTCTGCACAAACACAGCTAAACAAGATCGTAGCTTCCTTGCCTGGTCATGTGGCAGTCAGGTGAACACCCAGTTACTGATGGGGGCGGGCGGCGGGCAGGAGGGAGGGAGGATGGGGAGGGGAAGGGGGGACTCCAGGTCAGGAGTGCAGCCATGGGTGAGTTAAAGAATCCTCAGCAGTAGCACGTTGGTCCGGGTCAAATTCTAACATTGGAAGGAGAAAATCAGCAAATTCATTTGCTTCTTGTGGGTCCCATTCATATTTCTCGGTTAACACATCAAACAACTGCCATGGCTTCAATTTGGTTATATGTCTCAGCTCACCTGGAACAGATAAAAATAGGGTATCGGTCATGTTTCAACAGTTTCGTGGGATCAATCCCCAAAAAGTGCTAGAATTTGTACTTTACTAAGAAAGACTAATCCCAAATATAACATTTGTTACATTTACCACTTTCTAAAAATGGCTTTGTTTAATCATAATATACTTAAAGGTCACATGCAACATAAAACACAACTTTGCAGATTCTGATACCTTTCGGTATGGACATACAGTAATAAAGTAACAAAAATGCAAATTCAACTTTTAAAGTTGAAAAATTACTCATGAAAAAACCCCGCAACATAGGACTTCAAATGATTCACTAAATTCACCCCAGCTGAGGTGAAAAGTGGATTCCACAGCTGTGCTGCGCTGCACTGCACTGCGCTGCGCTCATGGTGCATGCGCAGTGAATAGACTCGCGTAGCTTGAAGCGGGGATTCCCGGATTATAAGGTCGTGAGCAGAAGTAGTCTAATCTTGGTTGTGTACACAAACAACAAATAGTAAATAATCTACTCGTTACATAAAAGAACCTTGTTAAGGATCTAGATCTACTCATCTTTGTGTCAATCAGTGAAGCATTCGACATTTCAAGACGGAAAACCTTCGCTGGGGGTGAGTACTCGGAGTAGGCTTTGAATCATGTGAGCTGTTTTTGTAATGTTTTGATTTTTGTTGATATTTCACAGGCGCAAGCTTTTTATATGTTTTGACAGTAGATTACCGATTTAACTGTTTATATAATTTCATTTGGCTTTCACCACACGTTCTTCTTACGGAGTCACTTTCTCAGTTCGATACTTAAAAGCAACGTCATTATTTAGCATTGTCAGAATTTCTAACTGTGATATAGATATGCCTCTGTCACAAACAAAACTCAATGTCTATTTTATTGACACCAATGTGTCTGCCTGCCTGTCTGCTAATGACAATATGCAATACACAAGTTCGATCACTGACCTCATGCAATTTGAACTTAACACACTATAAACAAAACACATTGATTTATGGCTCGTGCACCCAAGTTCTGTCACATTATGTAATTACACAGACAGGCTAGTGTGATACTTGTACACATGACATGTTATGATGTCTGTTGATTGCAAAATGTTATACACAAAAAATGAGCATGTATTTACAATACACACACACACAAAGCTCTCAGTATATTGGCAAATGAACCAGCAACTGAAAGTCTTCGTTACATTTAAGTGCACGCCCACCTGCTCTGACTGGGTTCGGTATCCCGGGTGCTTCGTTTCTAGAGAAGTAAACCCAGGTACAAAATATTGCACTTTTGATTTGCGATTGTACTCTTATAATTTTGTTTATTTGTTTTTACATAATCAGTAATGTATATTATATGTCACGAATAAGTGATAATTGTGTTTTAATTATATTTTGGGGGTTGCATGTGATCTTTAAGTTAGTTATTTATTGTACAGCTTACCATAGCAAGTAAATTTACAGATGTGCATGAATATCTCAACGCTGACCTTCACCTTGTGCCAACAATCATGTAACTCAACTGGATGACAACACCAGCCATTAAATTTTATTGAGCAATTAAATTTGTCCGATTTACTAACAGACAAAACAGAAACTGTGCATATCAAACAAGTTTACCTGTACACAAAATAGATCATGTTTATTTGGTGGAACATTTGGTAGTATTTTGTATCATGTTATATAACCTTCGCCTTGGGTACTGTATCAACATTTGAACGTTTAACTGGGCTTGAGCTTATGTGCTGGGTATGTTGAGTGAGTTTAGCTTTACTCCACTTTTAGCAATATTAAAGGTGGGGGGAGACCAGAAACGGGCTTCTCACTTTGGAGTGGAACTTGGCCATATTGAAAGAAAACTGACAGTTGAGGAAGTTTGAATTTTGCCAAAAATTCATGGTTTGTGGAGAAGTGTTTTTGAAATATATACAGTCAAATCCCGATGAGTCGAATCGCTGGGGACCAAGTAATAAATTCGACTTATCGATGTATTCGAGACATAGGTATGTCTATGAGGGTAGAAAAAATGATGATCCAGTCCTAATTACTCCACCTAAGCATGTGTTTATCTAATGATTTCCATATCACTAATAGGGACACCTTATCAGTTCCAGTCTGATTAGCACAGACTGTGATTTCCGTAAAATCACTAATCTGCCTTTTGAACTCACCCGTCAATGGCGGAAAGGTGTGAGTCGCGCTGGTTTGTTAATTGGATCAGTTTGCTACACCAATCAACTTCTCATTGACTGACTTCGGCTTATGTATACAAGATTGCTGTTGTTTGAATCTCATGGGACCAAATTTCCTTCTTGAGTCATTGTGTGTATTTATAAGACGAATTCGTGTAACCGGTATTCAAATGATGACAATTATAACAGGGAATGGTCGGGACCGATAGGTACTTCGAGTTATGCATAATATTCGAGACTTATCGGGATTTGACTGTAATTCCAGAATTTGGATGTTATCATGAGGAACCAGGAAAAATCTAGCTACCTGACAATCACAAATGCTCTAGCAGAAACAGGAGCTGTGCCAATGGTGTTTTGTTGTGCAGCTACCATGTTGCTTTTGTGGCATTTCGGATTTGAGGAAGCCATTAAGCCAGACAATATATTCCCCAGGGAGCTTCAGAGCTTACATAATATATGGCCTAGACAGTGAAATGTTTCAGAAAATAACCAAACTATGAGCATGATATATGGCAAATTGCAAGGGTTTCTATATAAACAGCCCAAGGTAAAGGTCATCAGGAAACACCCCTTTGAAAAGAAGTCCCACCCTTCTCCGATTTTCTACAGTTATCGAAAACTAGCATCCAATCTTGATTTCAAGTCAGCCAATCAGGATCATGGAAAAGACGACAACACACACACTTGTAATTATATACATATAATAAAAACTCTCTCTATGAAAATATCAGTTTCGGAAACAACGTAGACTTTTAGACCCATGGATCAACAATAAGACAGTAATGACTATCAATATCTACTGATTATTTCAAGTGGCCAAGAACTTTTAGCACATGGCAGACTCACCTCTCCTATTGAAATACTCCCTGGAGTATTTTCCTGATAGTGCTATATGCCTGGGAATGGGACCAAGGAGCTCTATGACATGGGCCAGGTGGTCCTCATCGCGGGTGTAGCCTTCCCCTGAGTGGGGCTCGAATAAATAATCACCAGTTGCAAGTTCAAATGCCTGCAGAAAGAAGTAATTCATATAAAACATCACATGCAGCACTTTCAGAAACCAAGCAAATCATGAAGACATTATTTCATATTTCATTTTTTAAATTTCAAGTGAGTCTTATGAAATCTTGTGATTACTATAAAGGCAAACAACTAACTGATCAATTCAGTGATCAACATCATGAGCATCGAACAACATAATTGGGATGCAAGGACATGTGGTCAACTGAGTAAGCAAGCCTGACCACTGATCCCATTAGTCACCTCTAACAAGAAGCATGGGTGGACGAATTCTTACCCAAAATAGTTAAAATAGTTGGACAAAAAATAGTTAGGGATACATGAAATGTTTGATATAATGAATAATGATCTATTCATTCATTGACACACTGATGACGTATCAATCATTAAAATACCAATATCCCTAACTTATGTTGTCCAACATAGTAGATAATTTGAGTTTGGTGGATAGATTTCTTAAGTTGTTTGGGCTTTTTTATTTTAAATATGGAGATGAGTTAAAAATTTAACTCAGTTTGAAATTTGAGTAAAAACTTTAGTTTGTTTCGAGAAATCAAGGCCATGGTTACATTCCTTTCTGCAAAGTTCAAGAATCAAGCTTGAGGTGAGTAGTGTCAGTTTTTTCAGATAACATGTCGTCCTGGACCAACTGGGGTGAGATCCTTACCATACATGCTGTACTCCATATATCAGCAGGAGTGCCATAGCCTGCCCCCACCAACACCTCTAGACAGCGGTACTGCCTGGTCTGGATGTCCTCAGTGAAGTGGTGATACTGAAACATCAAGTACAAACTGTCAATGTCTGGCGTTTGACTCAACTACATTCCAGTTCTGTGACTGATGGGAATGATTATCACTGTTAGGCAAAATACATATATACATACATTCAAAGATTTATATAGTGGTAATGTCCAGTGCTGCTCAAAATCCCTTCAAAGTACTTGAGTCACTGGTTAGTTACAGTATGAGAGTCTGTAATAGTACGTGTTTTGTGTTGACTCAAATGTACACAAATGGGTCTAACACCATCAACCAAGTAACTAGTGGTGTGACGATTCATCAATCCATGGGCCGACGATACAGGGAATCGATACAAAGTTTTACATTGTCGTATATCCCGAGAGGATACTTCAAATGGGCAACGATACATCGATATTTAAATTGGAATATTGCCCAATCGCGGTGTCTGTCAAGAAGAAAGACTCACTTTTGTTTGATGATTAAAATATTTGCTTCATAAGTAAACATTTTCTTGGAAATTCTTGCATCAAGAACTGTGTCAGACATAGCGCTCACATGTTATTATCATTCACACAGGCCGTGTATAAACTTAATTATCTCGTTTCCGAATGAACATTGAAAAACGCTGGCAGAATTTGACGAAATACTTTAAAATGGTTTTGTTTTGATATTCAGGTGTTTCATAGTTGGTGTTAGAATAAAATATTTTAGTAGCGTGATGCGTATCATATCGCCACCCTTACATCGGGATTCGTATCGTATCGCAGCATCAACACACGATACTTTGGCAATATATCGTCATGACTAAAATATTAGCATTGTGATGTATCATATCGCAGGTTGTATGCCAATACCAGCACTACCAATTACTGAGCCTGACCTCCAGGGACCCAATCCACAGAGTGTTCATAGCGTTATGAGCATTGTAGTGCTGCAAACACTTTGTAGATTGGGACCCTTGATCCATCCGATCCTCTGTTACAACCAGTACAAAATGTTGAGGAGCAAATCTATCTTGGTGTCCCCCATGTGCTCAATGAGCGGCTTTTCAACACTGACATAACGTCATAAATGCATACCAGGTGAAACACATTGAGGATATTAATCTGAGTGTCTTAAGGACACATGAATATGTCCAGTGTATCCAGGCAGGGTTAAGGGACATAACTCTGCACTGAGTGCATTGATGACATGGGCCACCTATATCCCAGAGCCCACTTGCACAAAGTCATCTCACATTTCCAAACCATCTACCTGTACCACACCTGAATCAGTCAACGATCCCCTAATCCATCTGGTCACATCTTACAACCAGCATAGGTTGTTGGGACACCTACATTAACCCAGAACCCCCACTTAGTGTCTCAATTCCCTAGTGAACACTGATTTATGACACCACTGTGGTCAGACACACTGCAGATTTATCCCGACAATTTGCAAGCAGCCATGTCCCTAACAGGCAAACCTGTAGTACATAGATGTGATCAAGAATGACTTGTGTTATGTTGTCTTATTTGGTGTCTGCAGAATTCCATTTCTGCCAAAACTCTAGTCTGTACCAGATTTTTGTTTGTGTTGTTTGTTGTCTGCTCTATACCAGATAAAAGACATCTGCCAATTCTCTTGTCTGTACCCCACAAGACAAATTACTGACATAAGCACTGATCTATGCCACCGAGACATGATGAAATGCATCAACCAAATCAGTAAGCCTGATGGCCAGGCCCCGATTTCTCGAACCAAACTTAAGTCTGAGTTTTGACTTAAGTTAGAGTTTTTACTCAAATTTGAGAAAATGCATTTCCCAGAATGAACTAAAATCGATAATAAACTCAAACATAGTTGACAATTTGAGTTTGGTGGATAGATTACTTAAGATGTTTCGGCTCTTTTATTTAAAAAATGCAGTTGAGGGTAAAATTCAGCTGTTTCAAATTGTCAAACTCAGTTTGAAATTTGAGTAAAACTTAAGTTTGTTTGGAGAAATCGGGGCCAGATCCCATCAGTCTCCGCCTCAGTCAATAGGTATAGGTTGATGAAGCCAATTTTAAGCCAGATCTTTATGGGTACAGAAAACACTGGCCAGACAAGAAATGGTCATTACATTTCCTGGTGGTCTCTATCTTAATTCTTCCCATAACAAGCAATTAAACACAACAATATTCAAGCTCAAGGTCTACAGCTTTTCTCCTCCCTGGAACTCAGTTGTACCCTACTAGTTTTCAAAGGCGTCAATTGAGATAATGAAAAACCTCCACAAATCCCACATAGCCACTTAGCTAGCTATTGCTTTACAAATCAAAATTCTTGGCTTAAAATTTAATCCATAAAGTCATACTGCTTTTTAATGAGCCAAACCCATTACCATCCGTACAGGAACGATGAAAGAAGACTCAACTTCAAGCAATTCAAGTCAGGACCCAACGGATTGCTTATTGTGAGGAGCTATTTATCATTCAAATAAACTGCAATAACAGTTCTTGGAGGCATTTGGATCACTGATTGAAGTGGCGAGTAATATGCAATCAAAACAAGCACAATAAATTATGGCCTAGCAATTTAAGTTTAGTTGCCAAACATGCAAAACATTGTTGACAACTGACATTAAGACTGCATTTGTTTCCCAAATGTCACGACTTTGAGGTCAATGCTTTATGTTGTATAAAAACCAGTAAAGAACTGAATTAGAATTGGTCCTCAGTTGCTGAAGACCAATTCTCTACCAGATCTTCACGGGTCTGTGGTAATATGGGCAAGATACAGCATGACTAATCCAGAACCCCTATTGCTTACCGTCCAACACGCATTTCCCAAATCAGCTATCTTCACAGGTATATCACAGACCTCCCTAACTGGATCAGGTCTGTCTACACTGTTGGCTTTTTCAACTGAAAACAATGTAAGTGAACAATTAATTGAAGCATTTATAACATTTGTATGTGGAATATCATACAATTACATACCACTTGTAAAAGAATTTTCATTCACGAACCATGCAAACACAAGGAAAAGTATTACTGGGAAGAGTGTGTGAGCATGGTTTTGCGCCGCTTTTAGCATTATTCCAGCAATATAACGGCGTGGGACACCAGAAATGGGCTTCACACATTGCACCCATGCTGGGAATCTAACTCAGGTCTTCGGTGAGACGAGCAAACGCTATAACCACAAGGCACCTCACCGCCCCTTACTGGGAAGTGGGTAGAACAGCTCAAGGGAGAATTAGTTCCAAATATTTGTTCAACAGTGTTTCAGTCACAGTGTCTGAAATGTGGGAAAAAGCCCAATGTCTGAAAAGTGACATGAGTATGGTACTAACAGACCATGATTGTTGCATGAATCTTTCAACTGATCCAAACCAATGCTCCCATGGAGAGAGTGAGTGAGTGAGTGAGTGAGTTTAGTTTTACGCTGCATGCAGCAATATTCCAGCTATATGGCGTCAGTCTGTAAATAATCGAGTCTGGACCAGACAATCTAGTGATCAACAGCATGAGTATCGATCTACGCACAGAGCTACAGAGCTTTTGGGGTCATTGAGTTATGTACTCGCTTGTGCTCATCTCAATTGGGTATCCTAATTTTCCTTTGAATAACCAAATAAATTGTACCCACCTCACTCAAACTCAATTGGGTATTTTGTCATTTTCCATTAATTGTAAAAATATAATGACATGTAAATGTTATTTATATTGGATCTGTAATATGAGAAACTATAAGAAAGACCGCAGGTTGCCTAGTTCATGTGATGAAATAGAACCTATCAATGTATCTCAGTTATTTTATCTATGCACCGGTACGCAAACAAAGATTTGACATTTTTGTGTGTAAGTATGTAAGATCAAATATATTGAGTATTTACAAAAATTCAAGCGTACTTGTACGCAACAGACTTGGTAAGAATTGAGTTTTCACATAAATGTTTGCGTAATTTACGCAGATACGCAGCTTATCTGTACCTCTGACGCAATTGGGATACGATGACGTGTCAACCAAGTCAGCGAGCCTGACCACCCGACCCTTTTAGTTGCCTCTTACGAAAAGCATGGATTACTGAAGATTGATTCTAACCCCAATAGTCACGGGTCCCATGCAGAGAGGGCTGTGGGGTAGCCAAGTGGTCATAGCTTTTGCTCATGCCGTAGTGACCTAGGTTCGATTCCCAACATTGGTAAAATATGTGATATCCATTTTGGTGTCTGCCGTGGTATTACTAGAATATTGCTGTTTCAGTTCTCAACCCTGATGAGGCATCCAATTTAACTACCCATATCCTTAAAAAACAAATTACCAACAAATAACTAACAAATTCATGAACACAGATCTAAGAAATTTGAAGTTAAAACTCTTCAGAATAATGCTCCTCAGCAACACAGGTATACTGCTCCGTTCAGAATGACCTCCACTGTGGCACAAGCATATATCCGCAGCGAAAGCACTGGCACTACCACACATGATAACACACACCACACCACAGACCAGCCACTGACCGGTCAAATTGTTTGAATTGTTGTCTGGTCCCTCCTGGGAAGAGGCTTCTGCCTGGGGTTTATCCTCAGCAGAGCACCCCCTCGGACTGACTGTGTTCCATGTCGTTCTCGACAGGGGGTGTCTCCGGCTCACAGTTCTGCACATTTTTATTCATGTCCATCTCCTCCGTCGTCGTCCCCCCTCCTCCGCTGACTCCTCCTCCTGCGTCGTGGCCGTTGCAGATCGGTTGACAATTTTCCTTCGTCTCATCGTCCGTGACGTTCAGCTTGGCAATTGCTGTGATCTGGCTCTCACTGGAAGAGACCTTGCCCAGGTCATTCTGTGACACAGTCTCAATCACTGGACACTCGGAACTCATCTCTACTTCATCTGTGGAATTTGTTGTAGTCTTTGGCTGGTCCATGTCTGAAAGATAGCACACTGTTAGAAAGATAAAGAAAACTGGGGTTCTTCACTTTGGCTGCGAATATATTGAACAAAGCAACCATAGCCCTACAATGTCTGCAAGCCTATGTTACTATCAATTTGGTGCTAAGATCCATTCAATCAACGGTACCCAAGTCACAAATGAAGCAGAGACAGGAGTGAGCAAGTTTAGTTTTATGCCACACTCAGCAATATTCCAGCTATCAATTCTAATCCTGATCTTCACGGTCAGCAGAGTCAAGAACATTAGTTGTAGAGAATAGGTGGATGTGTGACTGTTCAACAAGATTGGCTCCCAAGAGCTTCTAGGGATTAAGCCTTGCCCCACATGCTACATGTGGAGTCTCCCGAGGAAAGTGACTGTTTGAATTGAACCTGTAAATCAAGCAGTGAATGGGTACCCAGTAGGATGAAATGATAATGCAACGAACTTTCTAGCACGGCATAGACAGTTGTATACTCCCAAGGAAGCTGAGAAAGAACTTCAGGTGTACACTCCATGGCAATAATAAACTGAAGTGCCACTAAGCAGCTGTTCAAGTTTGAAGTAAGGAGCACCATGTTTAATAGATACACATTATTATAATCGTTCAACTTGAACCTACCAGCTGAATTATTATTTTCTTGTTCCTCCATGTTCTCCTCGGTCTTGACACTGTTGTCCGTGTTGGTGGTAGTGGTATCGGTGTCAGCGTTGTCTACTACGATTGGTTCGTTGTTGTCTTGCGGTGGGCTGTCCCTGTTGTTCTCAGCATCTCCTGCCAATTCCTGTAGGCTGCCGGTGCTCTCACTTGGGGTTGGCAAACTCCCCATCTCACCCAGCTGCTGGAGGCTACTGGAGCTCTCACTGTTGGTCAGTGTGCCCCCTTCTTCCTGGTTCTCAGGGGGCTGCAAGAACAGGATTGGAACATATAATCTGAGGTCAGATTAATAACAAAACTGTGACAAAGATGTACAACTTTGTTACTGGTATGCTGCAATACATTTTTCAAACAACAAAAAAAACAAAACATTTTGATTGGTGTATCTATCAGTCTGGAAACAGTCTTTTACAGACTACACTACCCACCCTTGCTTCCAGGAGTTACAAAGAGCATATTAAAAAGGGCATATAAGGTACTGTCAGAATCATCAACTCGGTGCTCTCAATGAATCACAAGCATACATCTTGGCAGCTAAGGGATGCTACTCCACCAGGAGATGCACCACCAGGTTTTGCTCCAACATCAGCCAAAAAATGGTGTTCTATAAAATGGTTTGCCATGACCATCACAAGTCCAAGAAAGTGCAGGACCCTGTTCTAGAAGGCAATTACCTGGCTATGTTAGTGTTTGTTTGTACTTCAATCAGAAGTATCAAACCTGTATGGCAACAGTCTGCAAATAATCAATTCTGGACCAGGCCATCCAGTGTGTAGGACAGGGACCTTAAAGCCTCAAGAGTCTCAAGACACTACTTCTGTGTTACAGCCCAAAAGTCATTGATAAAGAGTTACAAATTCTGTCATTCAAAGAATGCTTTGTAGAATTGTGTTCAGATGGTCAACCATTATGTTCGTCCTACAAGTACTACTGTGTCCGTCGCCAAAGTTGTTACCTGGGGTGGTGTTTCTAATTCCTGGATCTGTTGCATCTGCATCTCCAACAGCTGTTGTTGTTTCTTCATTTTCTTTTTCAGCTTCTTCTTTTTGTTCTTTGACATCTTACTTGGATCCTGGGGCTTTTCTTTTGGGGCTGTGCTGACTGAAAGTATGACCATTATGGTTCAGAGAAATACACCGTCAAAATCCAGGGACTATTCATAGTCATGTCAAGTACTCACACAGTCTGCACATTGTCACCAAGGTTTGAGGTGTGCCAGATTATATTCTATTCAGTTTCTAATATCAGTGCTTGATTGTTGTGTAATGCAGCACTGAGCCATATTTGAGCATGAGTGAGTGAGTGAGTTTAGTTTTACGCCGCACTAAGCAATATTCCAGCTATATGGCGGCTGTCTGTAAATAATCAAGTCTGGACCAGACAATCCAGTGATCAACAGCATGAGCATCGTACTACGCAATTGGGAACCGATGACGTATCAACCAAGTCAGTGAGCCTGACCACCCGATGCCTCTTACAACAAGCATAGTCGCCTTTTGTGGCAAGCATGGGTTGCTGAAGACCTATTCTACCCCGGATCTTCACGGGTGTATTTGAGCATGAAAACAATGAGTAGACCAGACAAAATAGTGATATATATTGTGAACAATGACACATCATTAACCAAGTGACCAAGAATGACCACCCTATCAATCAAGATGCCTTATCAACTTAGGCTGCTATATCTATTTAACTTGATATAGATTTGAAAATGCACTGATGGATAGGTAGACAGTATGTGTCATGACTTCAGATGGAAATTCTAGATGAATTATCCCAACCATCCCAGAAACAGCCTCACATATTTACTTAAACACACATTTCCGGAAACAATAATGAAAATATGAGAGACTGTTTTTAGATCAAGCTAAAATAGACAGCCTTACCAAAGGAGTAAAGAACTAAATAGAAACCAAAACAGCAGAATAACCATTAATCAATGCCATAAATTCCATGTGTCATTTCATATTTGCATTTACTGCAGATGCCAGCAGTAATCGAAATCCAAACAAACATGTTCCTGCAATTCAACACTTTTCCTTTTTCCCCATTAAGTGGTAAGCTAAGCCCTCCCCCCAAATCCATCTGGCAGCCAGTTCCCATTAGAAACCCACCTGCAGAGCCTGGTAGTTTGAGACCAAGCTTTTGCCATTCAAAAGCATCAGCTGCTAGCTTGCGGATGTGGGTTTCATCGACACACATGAGAATGTTCTCAGGTTTGATATCGGTGTGGATGATCTTGCACTTAGAATGAAGGTAGTGCAGCCCTTGCAGCACCTGCAGAACAGAAACTTGTATAAAAACTGGCAAAAACAATAACAACTTCTAAAGTCAAAATTCAAGTCAGACAAATAATGTAAACAGATAGTGGGCACTTAACGTGCTTGCTCTAAGTTCAGAAATTGAAACAATTTATTGAAATGCATTCAAAGGCCTTTCCCACATGTGAAAAATATAAATCCATTAAAACTAAATTGATTATACAGCTAAATGTGAAACTGCTAACCCTGGAAGACCCATCATGTGACAATTTATTGACTAAGAGATGAAAGGAATTCTACAAGAAATAACACTGCTGGAGTTGTCTCCCCTACATCACTCACCTGTTTTATGATACATCTGACATTGGGGAGGGGTATGCCCTGATAGCTGGACCGGATGATAAGCTTCAACAAGTTATAGCCCAACACCTCAAACACCATACATACATCTGTCATGGATTAAGGATCAAAATTTATATTAAATATGAAATAATTTATGAGGTTAAATTACAAACAGAAACAAAATCATTAAAATCCTAAAAGATATATACACAGCTCATTAACACAGTTATTATCTACACACCTTAAATTTCAATACAAATATTCTTCTGTATTTTTAAACTTTGAATCAATATTAAGAAACAATTTTCAAATTTATGGTTTACATGCAACACAAACAAATTCCTTTTAGGTTTATTGGTTGGACTCCCTTCCTATGCAAGAGGTAAACAGTTGCATGGAGTTTTAATGTTATGATATAAATATCCTCAAGATTGTTAGTGACGGTGTGTGCTTATACTGGTCCTAGGGCTCCTTTCATGAAGCAACCTTTATGAAGCAACCTTTATTAAGGTTAACCTTAACTCCCATTCTTTAACATTGCACTAAGGTTACCTTAGTGACTTACGATCACCTTAGTGCTCTGTGAAAGGAGGCCCAGGCCAGCACTTATAGTGCTAGCCCACAGAGATACCATGTTCCTGTTTATACATTAACATCCTACTCAGACATATTTCACTATGTAAAATCCAATCAGTTCCTGTTTTATCCCATCAATGCTAAGCACAAGGCAGGGTAACAAAAAGTACCATCTTAAATAAATATCATGCATGTTCTTTACAAATCCAAAGGAATGGCAACAGGTAGTGGCACCATAATGGCTGTTAGTTGGTCATTCAAAGGATACGTGTCCCATTCACTCCTGTTATTTTGAAATCATCCAGTAACTGCACGGTCTTCTTTCTGTAGGGGTCATTCTCGTCACTGTTGCGAACCTGAGGCAAAGGAATCAACAAATCAACCAACAGAAAACGGTGAAAAACAATCCTAAATACGTCAGGAATCTCAATATGGAGAGACCACAGTCCAGAATTGTAATACAGGTGATAATAAGTGAGTGACTGAGTTGGGTTTTACGCCACTTTTAGCAATATTCCAGCAATATCATGGCGGGGGACACCAGAAATGGCACATTGTACCCATGTTGGGAATCGAAACCCGGATCTTCGGTGTGAGGAGTGAACGCTTTAACCATTAGGCTAGCCCTAGGTGATAATTAGGAATCAAGCTAAACAATTATTCATAATTATGAACAATGATACAGTTATGTGTGAACCAGAATGAAAGAATGCATGTTTAAGTCCATTCATCACTGTAAGCAATTCTTCACAGCTGTTTCCCTTGTCATCCATCCAAGTATGCTTCAGGCATTTCAGCCATTCTCACAACACAATCTATTTCTTCTTCTTACGATACACATCAAATAATGTCTGCTAAGTCATATTTTGAAAACCCATATGGTGATTGGACAGATAATGCAACTCTGCATGAGCCTGCCAAGTAGAAGTAGAATTTCACGCTTTGTAAGGGGTATCCTGACATCACCATTCATGCTAGTATATCAGTAAGTTCCAGTTGCAAATCAGCAACATTACATGGATCTCACAGCAGTAGACAATGCAGAAATGTATAAACTTCTGTACACACTTACACATTTTAATAACTTAATTTCATCCAGGGCTGTTTCTGTATAATGCTGAGCACTTTTGACCACCTTCAGGGCTACAAACCTCTTCTGTCTGAAAAAGAAAGAAACATTCTTCATCATCACCATCATCACCATGATCATCGTCGTCATCACCATCATCATAGTCATCATCATGATTGTCATCGTCATTGTTGTCATTGTGAAACATCAAACATTTCAAACTATACACCAAGGTTATGTTCATGTATGTGTTAAATAATCCCAACTAAAATGTCGGTTTCATGGTCCTAGCCAACTGAGATACCACCCTACGTGCACAATCACACAGATAATGGCATATGAAACTGAACATGTTCAAGATGTTTGTGATCAGACAAGCATCAGAACATTAGAAGACTCACACCATGATCTGAATATCCTAAATAGCATGTAAGCTGTCCACGATCAAATGACTGACTTATGTGATGGCCTACATGTCAGAGCTGAAACAGAAGAAGCATTCCACAAGATATGTATCATGATTCCCACGATACAAAGGCATTAACTCAATCCCCGCCTTACTTCATACATCACTACCCTTAAAGGTTAACCTTGTCGACCATAAAACTTGTCTCAAGTGTAGAGAAATGTATGTAGTTCGCCAGCTTGTTAATGACTTGGAATAGACATGCATAACCTGCTATGCAATAGAATAAATTATTGACTCAATTAGCCTTCAGAAACATATCACTGACACTACACATGCTGTTTTATAAAATTCCAAGAACCCTTGGACCAATTCTTTTTTTTATTTCACATTTATAGATCGGATTTAAATCCTTTTGAACTCAAAGGACTAAACAATAGATCCTTTATCTTGTTTATCCTCTTACAGGAAATCACTAAAACAAATCCTAATTCCTGTAATTGCATGGATATTGTTGGATGCTTGGCTCCATTTGGATTAAATTTCTTCCTACAAAAATCAGAAAACATTAAACATAATCGCCTAGGATCTGACTATCTAGCTGATGACAACTTAAAAGTTAACCAGTGCATATGAAGTCAATGAGTACAAGATACTGTTTGGGAGAAAGTAATGAATGATAAATAAATTAATATTGCTTTACTCCCTATCTGCAAGTTTCCAGTTGTTTGCTGTGATGGAAGAAAGGATGGAAGAAAGGATGAAAGGTAGAAAAGAAAAAAGAAAGTGGATATAAGATACAGGGTTTTTTCCCTATTGCATCAGAGCTCCAGATAAGATTTAGCTCATGTGGGTACTGTACCCACTGTATTTTTTTGGAGTGGGTATTTCATTTTCCATTACCTACTGCTTTCTAATATGTGCTTATTTCAGTCATTTTACTCACCTAAGTATTATGTCATTGAGTAAGTTTACTAAGCAGGTATGTTCTGCCTTATGTCATACCTAATCAAAACCAACTTAAATATAATGCAAATCACTCATCCTACACTAACAGTACAACTTGATAGCAACCAATGTCATTTTCATACCCAAGCCAATATATTCCGTACGCACTTGTTTTAAACTTTTTGCGTATCTAACATTTTAAATGCGTATTTGGTACGCAACAATTATTTTTCAATGCGTAAATGGGAATTTTCTGTGCATATTTTACCCGGATACGCAGCTTATCTGGGCCTCTGTGCATCATAGCCTAGTTTAAGCATAAACAATCAACTAGGATTACCACATGTCCTTGTAAGCAAAATGTTTTTTTCTTTACAATGTCGATTTTTTTGTCTTAAATAAGTTGCATCAGAAGATGCTGAACACTGCATTTTGATACAAGCCTAAACATCAAAACCTCTTCAGTTTCAGTATCATGGCTATTGGTCCTGTCATCAGTGAGTCACCTACACAAACACATCATCAAATGATGGACCAGCCTCCGAAACAGACCAGATGACAAACAGAGGTCCAGCCTCTAGCTTTTTGACACAGCGTATGACCCAGAGTGAATTAGTCGCCAGCCAGTATTGTAGAATCTACAAGCTCTGACTACTGAGTGGATTCTAGTTCCGTGATCAACAGATTTGAGCAATTTCTCCAACCCTGACCCAGACCCAGACCCAGATCCAGTTGCAGTTGATAGATAGATGTACAAGAAGTTGACAGGAACTAACTAGTTTGTCTCACAGTCCCTGAACTGCATTATTTTCCCTTCCGCCCAGGCCCTTCTGAAAAGCTAAAGCCCTAAATGAAGAAAGTCTAGATTTCCTCAAGTTCTGAATCCCCATCTCACTGAGTCTCCTTTTGAATTTAAAAGGAATAATTTGTTTGAATCAAAATTATATATAATCAGGGCTAGGCTTAAGTCTAGGAACTAACAATCAATGATATCATCACAACCTGAAACATGTAACCACACACCACTATCCACAGATAAAGTGTCAAGGCAAACAAAACAAGTCAACCAAAACCCTTTCTGAGGTTCCTAAGGTTTCTGGCTTTTACTGTTGACCATAAACTTAAAAAACAAAATATACTCGAGATGAGTCAAATTTGAATCCTACATGTCCATTGAAAAAAAACAACAGAATACATTAAACTTTACTGTTTATCATATTAACGCTAAAATCGTCCAATTTGTGTGTTTTTATTTTCACAGACAAAATATATAGCAGAAAACCTATTCACTACAATTTTACAAAGCCAAAATAATGATAACTAAAGAGTCAAAGACACAAATTTTACTTATGACTCTCCTCTCTGTCTCGTTTGTTTATAAAAATATTTTAAAAACCCATATAGACTGACTGACTGACTGAGTTTGGTTTTACGCCGCTTTTAGCAATATTCCAGCAATATCACGGCGGGGGACACCAGAAATGGGCTTCACACATTGTACCCATGTGGGGATTTGAAACCCGGGTCTTCGGCGTGACGAGCCAACGCTTTAACCACTAGGCTACCCCACCGCCCCCCATATAGACAAAAAAGGCTGACAGTGTGCCTTTAAGATTCCATTTGAGGTGAAGACTTTTTACAACATGGCATTGCCTGACTAGCAGTGACTGGTAATAATGAAACAATGTCGTGGACAAAGTTACAATGACATAGTGCAAGCTGGAATGAGTCCTGCTGAGTAAACTAGACAAGCCTTATGAAAGTAATGTGTTGGCGACATGAGCACTCAGACTCTGGAAGACAACGCAGGAAGGCATTCAGCCCTCCTTTTCATGTGCAGCTTTTTCACTTGATAACAAAAGATACCTAAACTGATAGTCATTTTCAGCCGAGCTGCACACACTCCAACAGGCTATGCACAGCATTAAGGCTTCATAATGTGATCAACAAACCATCCCAGAGATTGATTTGTGCCACATAAAATATCAATCAACGAGCCAGGAGTACTTGGTTTGTGGGCCAACCCAGTCTAGAATGGTGATTGAGGGGCAGGTTATTGTGTCAAGAGAAGCCCTTCATTATCTGTTAATTTTTGGTATACGTCCAGCCATTGACAGGAACTGGATAAGTGGGATACTGAATACCTGGTCAGCAGATCTCTTCAGTATGCAGGGAGAAATTAAAGTCACAATTATGGTTCTGATGGAACTGGGATGGTAACATAAAATGATTCTCTGGAGGCTGCTCACAGTATGTCAGTGTTATTCCAGAAAACATATCCCCGAATACTTGCTCAGCGCAGTGATATATCAGCTCCTGGGGTAGTCAGGTTCTGGGTCCCGATACACAAAGCGTTACGACCTGTCGAAACTCTATATAGTTTATCATTGGCGTACAATTTTCATACTGCTACGAACACTTTGTGGATCGGGACCCTGATTATGACCTGTCATAACTATAGATTATCGTTGTAGTTGGTTTGTTGTCTAAAGCCACAATCAGCAATTTTCCCTCCATATGGTGGCAGTCTGAAAATAATCAAGTCTGGACGAGACAATCCAGTGATCAACATCATCAGCATCGATCTATGTAATTGGGAAATGATGACATCAACTTAGTGACCTCTTACGACAAGCATGGGTTACCGAAGACTAACTTTAACAGAGAACTTCACGGATCCAATATTTTATCATAGGCTTACCAGAGCTGTGTATGGTGGCCTAAGTGGCAAGACGATATATCCCGTTAACAGTTTAATGAGGCGAGACTATATATCATGAAAGTATTGGCAAGGAACCTGCGAGACGATTATCATCACAATACAATGGTGGCGATACGATACGTATCCCGATACTGTACAATTTCTAATAACAGAACAGATATGATAGATAAAATGACTGAAACTTTATTTGTTATACAGCAGAACTTGTGTTCCATTCACACACACTTAAAAAGCTGTTCATCTAATAAAATTTCAGCATTTAAAGCTTAAGAAAGTCAAACATATTCAGTATACCTTGATCTAATATATATAAAACTGAAAGTGAAGTTTCCCTTGGGAAGTTGTGTTTCTACACCAATGCTTTCACAAACAACTCAATGTAATTTATATCAGCATTCAGAATCACTTAAGTCTGCTTTCCAAATTTTATCTTCTCTTTGTTCTCTTTCTTATCAACGCTAAGACATCGTTCATAGTTGTAAATAAATAGTGTTATTTGTCAAACAACTAAAACATATCTGCATATTTCAATTACTTGAAGACAATTATTCTCAGTTCACAGAGTTTGTAAAATGTTCACACTCTGTGACTTATACACCAACTCCTTTGTTTATGTAACAGACATAACAGGCACAAACAAATCCCTTTAAAGTTCAATTTGTTTTTAAAATTCAGAAGAATTTCAAAGAGACTCCTTTCCTATTCTTAATGCAATACTCCTTACAACTTTAAGTAGTATTTAAGTTGTAACGGGAATATATCGTCTCTTGTGGCGATACATCAATGTATCGTGGACCCTCGCGATATAAATACTCTGATATATTGCCTTATGTGTTTTGTATCAATGCACTCTTATTGCGTAGTTGACGATATAAACATCGATACTATCGATGAATCGTTACACCACTAAGGCTTACGAATGTCATAGCGCGCTACAACCGCTTTGGTTGTAGGGGCACTGAACAAAGAAACCTTGACCTTCTCACAGAATGTACATATGGTTTTCAACATCTGG